GGTCATCTTGCTGTGTGCTAAGCTTTCAGATGCATAGTCTCATTATTATCTCCTTTCCCATCAGTCATCACGGTCTTATTATTCTGTATTTTATTCTGTCTCAGGTTCTGGGAAAACAACAACTTGTACAAAATATGCCTACTACCACCAGAGGAAGGGCTGGAAACCGGCTCTAGTTTGTGCAGATACATTCAGAGCTGGTGCTTTTGATCAACTAAAGCAAAATGCAACCAAAGCTAAAATACCTTTCTATGGGAGGTAAATCTTTCTCACGAACAATCCATTCATTATCTGTTTCACAAAGTTATGACTTTTCTTTCTTAAAATTTTATATGCTCAACAGAGCTGTTGTATTGATCGGTTTTTTCAGTAATAATCCTGAGGCATGTACATTATACACTTTAATTAAAATGTTTGTTATTGGAGTATTATGAAGTTCTGTCAAAATAAGGCTACCCCATACCATATGTAAAGTATTTATAGTTAATTAGTTGTATACAAGAGGTGGGGAGTGTGGGGCCATCTGTCTGAAAATAAAATTAATATTTTCTCACCCAATTGTATGTTTTGTTTCAACATTCCTTTACATGATTTTGTCAAATTAGTGAATTTAAGTTGATTGAGACACCTATTGTTCTGGTAAGCGTATGGTACACAAGCTGGTTTCACCTGCAAAACATGTCTGAAGCGAACATACTAAAGAAAGGAATGTACCACCTAATTCACAAAATTGCATAGGTTCCTTCTACATAGTGTAAACCTGCACTTTAAAAATGTGAAAGTTTGTAAAATTGTTATCTTTTAGTGAAAATTTTATTTTTCTGATTATAGTTGTATTCCATATGGTTCATGATATTTTTTCTTAGCATACACTCTGACATTATCTGTTCATATAATTCTTCTAAATAAATGTCATGATTTAGTTTAAGTCTAATGTGGGTTTATTATTCTGACATATGGCATATCTAATGTAAATATATGTTTCCGCGACAGCTACACAGAGTCTGACCCGGTAAAAATAGCAGAGGAAGGTGTTGAAACATTCAAGAAGGAAAATTGTGATCTCATAATTGTTGACACCAGTGGGCGCCACAAACAAGAAGCTGCTCTCTTTGAAGAGATGCGTCAAGTCTCTGAAGCAACGGTATGTACTAATTACTAAAAACTCTTCTTTTACGATGCAACTAACCACTACATTTAGAATAGTCTCATCTTTTTGTTGGTTTTTTCAGAAACCAGATCTTGTGATATTTGTTATGGATAGCAGTATTGGTCAAGCCGCTTTTGATCAAGCTCAAGCGTTCAAGCAAAGTGTTGCAGTTGGGGCTGTAATAATTACTAAAATGGATGGGCATGCAAAGGGAGGTGGTGCCCTTAGCGCGTAAGATTCATATACTTTAAAGTGTAATATATATACTGTTATAGTATCACTTATTTTTGTATTGACATTCTTTACTCTAACCCTCGCAAAAAGGGAGCCATATCTCATGTTTTTTCCTGCAAAATTAATTTGGTTTTAAATGTATTGTCATTGAAGAGTAAAATTCATGTAAAGGCGATAGCAAATCGTTTAGTCAGTTACTCTAGAAAATCTTGAGAAAAAGTTTTACGGGAATGAGTGCCCATTACTAAGCTGTAAATACTATCGAGCTGACTAGGCATAAAATGTTAAACCCTTACTCAAACATGACACATTTTCTGGGACTGAAGCAGTATTTAACAATGATTGTTGTCATGTATTCATGAAAATAGATTTGTTTCTATGCAGAGTTGCTGCAACAAAGAGCCCTGTAATCTTTATTGGTACTGGAGAGCACATGGATGAGTTTGAAGTTTTTGATGTTAAGCCATTTGTCAGCCGACTTCTGGGTATGTATCTCATCCATAACAAGAGCTCTGTTTTTCTCTTTCTTTGATCTCAATATGCTTGTTTCTGATATTAATTATGACTGTTTCCATTTTTTCTCTTAGGCATGGGTGATTGGTCTGGGTTCATGGACAAAATACAGGAGGTTGTTCCTATGGATCAACAACCTGAACTTCTTCAGAAACTCTCCGAGGGAAACTTTACCCTAAGGATTATGTATGAACAATTCCAAAATATACTCAAAATGGGTCCGATAGGCCAGGTTTGCCCCTACTGCCTTGAACTTTTGCTGTTACGGAGTAGATATTATTTACATCCACATGTTAGCTCTTTACAGCAAGGTTGTTAAAATCGTAATTTTGCATCGAATCGGAACAAGGATTTATAAATCGAATCGTAAAATCGAATCGTAAATCGTAAGATTTTACAAAAATAAGTATATAAAATAATAAAAAATATTAAATAGAAAGAAATTCAAAATATAAAATTATTTAGTCGAACCATTATAAGTTTAACTTATACAATAATGTCTTACTTAGATACACAAAATAATTAAAAACAAAATAATAATGTTATTAAAACAAAATAATGTTATACAAAGTATATTCAAATAAAAAAAAGTCACATGAAACTATAAATGATGCTCTAATCAAGTTTCACAACGAATACTGTTTATATGTATGGCAAGACTATTAGACTATATAAATATAATTATGTTTGTTTGAAAAGACATGAATAAGTAAGTTAATACGTACAGTATATCACAAAGATGATTGTGGTGAGATGGTGAAAGTGTGAAACGTAGGGATCAAAACAGAGTAGGAGGTGGTAGGTTCGAAACCCATTTGTAGAGTATTTTTTACGTAGTAGTTTTTTAGATTCTTTCTTTATTATTCTGAAGTCCAAAGTTCCCACACCGGAATAACAAAGCGAATTCCACCCTTCCCTTATCTATATAAGTCGAATCTGGGTAAGTGGAAGTATGCAGGCTAGCATTTCAATTTGCCTTCCCGGCCAGAGATACTCGGCTGGATTTGTTTTGGGTCAAGTCAAATTTTAAAATCGGAAAAATCGTATATAATCGCGATTTTAATACGATTTTTTTACGATTTTTTTAAATTCCGATTTTGTAAGTGATTCAAATCGGTCTAGTGTTAATGAATCGTAAAATCGTACGATTCTACGATTTGAAATGGACAAGGCCTGTATATGTTTTCCTTCTGTACAATATTTATACATTTAAATGTATTTCTTTTTAGCATCAGTGCAATTTATGCTTCTTTTTATTTTCGTCCATGCACTTCACGCTGTTTTCTTTTTTATACATCCCGCCATCCTTTGTTAACAAGCATTGATATGGCTCTTTGGAGACTATCAGGGGAGGTAGTACTAAGCGGAACTCACTATTCCTACCGTCAGTTTACGTGTCTCTGGTTGGCTTTGTAGGGAAGTAAAGTATTTCGTAAAAACCAAATGATGTGGAAAAACAAGATTGGAGTTCTATGATCCATGTCCGTGTTTTTTCAAACTAAGGTTGACGTTGAGTAAGAAAGGGATTAGAACGAAGAAAGCGTAAATTGGAGGAGTGTAAAACAAAAAAGATTATTATATGGGGGACCTAAAACAAAAGGCACTATATTCTAGGGGTGTAAAACAAATTTCTTCCTATATGCTATAAATAGATAATCAGCTTGAGCTGTGATCCATACTGTATTCTTATTATGGTGCAGGTGTTCTCTATGCTGCCAGGATTTAGTCAAGAATTAATGCCAAAAGGGCGGGAAAAGGAAAGCCAGTCAAAAATCAAACGTTATATGACAATGATGGATTCAATGACCAACGAAGGCAAGTGTAGTTGCATTAATTTTGTTTTCCTCATAAAAGTTAGCCTGATCTCTCATCTTGCCATAATGAATAACAAGTAAATATATAATGGCAGAATTGGACAGTACGAACCCGAAGATAATGACCGAATCACGCATAATGCGGATAGCAAGGGGCTCGGGTCGTATGGTATACGAAGTGTTGGAAATGATGGAAGAATACAAGAGATTGGCGAAGATATGGAGCAAGATGAAGGGACTTAAGATTCCAAAGAAGGGAGATATGAGTGCCCTTTCACGAAATATGAATGCTCAGCACATGAGCAAAGTTCTCCCCCCACAGATGTTGAAACAGATGGGCGGAATGGGCGGCTTGCAGAATTTGATGAAACAAATGGGTTCTGCCAAGGATATGATGGGCATGTTTGGCGGTGGCGGGGATAAGTAAAAAAAAAGTCTTATGATCGATAATGGTGATATATATACGTTTAGTTTAGTCTCTACATTTACTTATTGACTCGTTATCATTTCATATGAGCTTGGTGATCTAGAAGCCTGCTTGTCAAGTGTGAAATTCGGCTTGATTGTTCTTGAATTTGGGTCAGAGGTTAAACAAATACTACGTAAATGCTTTGAGTACTAGAATTATTTTTAAACAAGTTTTTTTTGTTCTTTGCTACATTAAAAGAAAGCGGCTTTTTTAGTTTGCTCTCTGTATTTACTTTTAACATTTCGAGTTTCTCTCCCCCCCCCCCCCCCACGTTACCCTATGAGTGTATGCGACCTTGGAATAATGAGTTACATTCCTGACTTTATACCTCATGATTAAACTAATTTTTTAGTTTTGCATCTCACTTTTAGGTTTTAGGGGAGTGTGAATTCAAAGAAAACTGTTGAGTGTATCTTAAAGAAAACTACGACAAAACACATGGTGCAAGTTCAAAATTTTCTCACATGGTGCAAGTTCAAAATTTTCTCAGATAAAAATTGTATGTTCTTAAAAGAGATTATTAAAAGTGTCATTCAATTTATTTCAATGTTGTAGTTTGCATACTTTTAATTTGATTAGATTTGATTCTATTTCCATTTCCTTACCAAGACTACTTTTAATTGTCCTTCAATCTGTCACACAACTACACAAGTTAAGTATTCTTTAGATTGAACTTCGTATTGTCACAAAAGTCAAGTGCTGTTTTTTGTATCATCTCGAAAGAAGCCAAAAAGCTAACCAAGTGTTGAGATCATTGACATTCATGGGGTGAAAAAGACAATTTAAGCTATTCACACAAAAATGTGGTACAACCATTGAAAAGGGGCAGAAAGAGAGTCAATAATGTCTAATTGTCACCGATAGGAGTTGGTATTCATGCCATATTCACCAAAAAAGTAGGAGACAGGTAAGCTTACGGTAAAGCTGGATAAAGTTTAAAAATACATAGGAAAAGTATATTATTTTGTAGCCCATGTTGTTACTCAAATACACATAATCAATCAATTTAGTCTTGAAGGTTCCAATGGAACTCAATTTGGCCCTAGATTACGAAATCTAACCCAAATTGGTCTACATACATTTTTGTGTTCTAAATTAGAGTGGCATTCCGCATTTGCTTGTCAATCCACTGAAATTTTCAGACACAATTTCATAATCTAGTTGGCTTTCAGATACATCATGTGGACCAAAAAAGGCGCTTCTCACTTAGATGATACTTGTAAGAGCGCCTAATTGAGTTTAAATCAAAGAGTCAACAACCAAATTACGAAATTTAAGTCCAAAAGAAAGTTGATGACCTAGTTAAACAGGTGCTAACCATACTGCACTCTAAGTAGAATATGAACCACTTCAGCCTTCATACAAATCCAGAAGAAATCATTAACTTGCAGGAAGACTTAGAAACACCTGTGTTAGATTTAGCTGGAACCAGGGTCAAGCACGGGGATTCGGCAATGGAGACTAATAGATTTATCTGTTTGGCGAGACCCCGGGATAAAGAACTGAAATATCAAGGTCAAGCAAGCACCTTGATGAGAAATCCCATAGAAAGCACAATCAGGTTTAGCCAAATGACACTGAAGAGACTTAAAGAAATGCTTCACGCTAACGTGCACTGTCATCGCGTCCCCCTTCTGAACCGCCATTCTCGCCCGGGATTGAGCAGTCAGATCCTGATCCCACGATGGAGCCGTCGCCTGTTCACCGATAACCGACAGCTTCCTAAACTCGGCACCTAGGGTTACCAATGGTGTAGAAATTTGCAAATGGAGATCACCATATTTGCTAATGGACACATTAATCACATCCCCAACGTGCTTTATCCTATCCACAAAGTTCTGCAATTGGTTCATATCCGGAACTTCGACCAGAGTGGGAGGCAAATCTTGAGCTCCATCTAGGGCAGCTTGAAGTTCACCCACATCACCTCGCGACAACGGTTTGGAGATCGGAACGTCTTGAATAACAGCTGACTTATAGCCTTTGGTTTCAAAAGTTAGGAAGGGCATAGGCTGTAGAGAATGTGGAGGAAGCTTCTTGACCAGCTTGATTTGAATGCGGTTAGGGACATTAACGGCATTTCCCGAGAACTTTGTGTAGATACTGATGATACTGCGAAGAGCGCGCTGGAGGAGGGAGAGGTCGATGGTGAAGGCAATGCGATCATCATTCAGGCTGGAGATCATATAATCTTCGAAGAGGGCGTCTTTGCGAAACTGGGCTATGGAATGGATCCCGTCACTGTTAAGGAGGTTGTGCAGGAAGAAAGCATGGTCTCTTGTTAGATAGAGATGGCATATTTTCCCCATTTTTTCAAGTGCAGGTAGGAACCTCTTCTCAAGCAGGTTCACGCCATTGTCTGTGAGATACGCCTTGAACTTCATTGGGTTCGATACACAGATTTACGCTGTAGAAATGAAATATTGACAGACAGAGTGGGAAAATTAATGCACAAATGAATTCACATAATCAGGAGAAAATATATATCCGGCTAGGCGTTCTATCAAACAGATTCCGTGCATTGTCTATGAAAGCGAACAGGTTGTAGAACTTGAATTTGTGAAGAATGAGAACAAATATAGGAGGCCTGATGAAAGGCTAAACAAATTCAGTAGACATATCTGCCATAAATTAATGAGAATATATAAGGAGTACCGGTTGGAACAATGCCAAGGTTTGGACTTTGAGGTTATAATAACGACTTCATATATAGCCGGATTTGAGAATGTGAGCTAAATCATGTTGTCTATCTCAGTTAAGATGGTCTCAGGCACTATTCACTTGATCAACACAAATTATTCTTAATCTATTACTTTATATATCAAATTTTTATCAAATTTGATTCAGATTTTTGCGACTTTGTAAATATTTTAATGTAGTTTCTGAATATGTAATTTTTTTTTCTAAAAATAATTTGAGAGCGGACAGAGATCTGTTTGCTTTATCGTCGGCCAAGCATCGTAAACCGAATTGTCTCAATCTCAATGGGACAAAGGGAGTACTACGTAAGAGATAGACAGATAGAGTATTCCCGCCTAAGGAACTCATGTTAAGACGGTACACACAATCTTGCTAATCAATCGCTACGGTTTCAATTAAAAAGAGTACTTGACAAGTTTCTCTAATACAACGATTTCATACCGTGACTTACTCCTACATCATTCTGTCGAGTCGGGGTGTCCAGTGTAGGAACGTCTGGGTGAGTGGTTCCACCTTTTGGATTGTGTAGGGTGATTACAATTAGTCCCTGCATACCTCTTTAGTTGTCCTCGTTTCTTTTTTTGGACGTATTAAATTAATTGTCTCATTTTTGTGTTTGGAATAAGACACACTCAAAAAGTAGCTACAGTACCTGTCGGCTGTCGCCACCTAATACAGATGACCTCGAATCCATATTTGTTTCAACCTCTAACCTCATGCTTCGTCCATGACCTATAACCGCCGAGACCAAAAATCTGTCTTTCGTCCCTGCACAACTTTCGACCGCTGGAGACCAAACATCCCCTTCCCTCCGCATAATCTCGCTAAAATGAAAAAGAGAGAAAATAGTCACACAATTGATGGCGGAAGAAGAAATCATATATGCTTAAGTCCGCTTGCGACGATCACGGCTCGTTACAAACGATAGCGGAGGAAAAAACTTTAACTATGAAAGAGATATCTACTCTAGCGATGCCTTAGAAGAGATTTTAATTAGCTTAAATTAATCTAATAACTTTTTTTTGTGAAAATTACATCATACGTAGTACTCCGTGGTCCGTATATAAAAAAGTTATAATAATTTAAAGAAAAAAGATAATTGTAACGCAAATAGCATGGAATTGATGGAAAAATATACAGCAAGCTGCTGCTCATCTTTTTATCTCAACGTGTCCGTCCACTCGTTTAAACGATTAGCCATGTCGTTCTCTCTCGTTTTTCCTACCCCCTCTTCTTTTTTATCTTCAACCTTCGCCACCGCAAATTCTAGTAAGCTGTTCCTGAAGAGGAGAAAAACATTCACAGTGGTCCCAAAAGCTTCTGAGAAGGATGGAAACAAGCCGGCGTTCAACCCGTTCGGCTTCGTTACCGACAATCCGTCAAGTCGGAGCGCCATTCAGCTTCCAGAGTCCCCTGCCGAAGACGGAAACGTCGGCCAAATGCTCTACGTAATGCAAACTCACCCCATTTTGACATTTCAGCGCTGACAGACAGTACACTAGAGAAGTTTCAGTGATCACTGCCTCACTGGCACTACTTCTCAGTTCTCACTGTTTGTACATGCTTATGCAGAGGATAGAAAATATGGGAAGAGAGTACGGATCATATGTCGAATCCGGTGGATTCCAGTGGTTTGTTAGAGAAACAGGTATACATTTTTTCCATGGTCTCAAGAGTTGAGTTTCCAATCCGGCTTTGGGTTGATTTAAATTACTAATTCGTGACTGCATTTTTATTATGTGTCATATGTTGTATAGCGTGTGATTGAATTTTGTATAGACTAGAGAAAAATAATATGAATCACAAGTTACTAACTTAGAAGGAAATGTCAATGCTTTTTTGGACGGTTAAATGAGGAGATTTGACAAATTTCTTTGGGAATAATAAACATGCATTGTAATCTAAGGAGTTTCTGTAATTGCAGGATCGTCTGGAAGCACGCGTGGAACAATAGTCTATCTCCATGGTGCTCCAACTCAATCTTACAGCTATCGAGTGGTTATGTCTCAGGTTTCAATAATTTTTTAACTGTTAGGGTCAGTTCGGAACGCTGAGAATGTCATGGAAAGAAAATATGGAGGGAATTATAGAGGGATTTTGGAAGGAAGGAAAATGAAGTAGAAAATAAAACATTGCTTTGAACTCATGGAATATACGTTTTTATTTTTTCAGAATTGTTTCTGAAACTTACTTCTATGACACATACTAAAAAATCCAAACTTACGTAAAAGATTCAGAAACCTTGATAGTATCCCATTTTCCGTTTCATTTCTACAAAACATGAGAAGAAATGACATCCCAACATTTTCTTTCCTTTCTTCTCAAGCATTTTTGCGGGATCCAAACATAGCTACAGTACTTTAAACTATCAGCCTAAGTAAAATTTGGAAAGGCGGCACCTTTTCCTTGCTGCTGTAATGCCTTCTTTATTGAGAGTCCATTAACCCTTTATATTTCTTTATTTATACATTTCATCTCATTCTAATGTGTTGGATTCTCCCCAGCATAACCTCTTTGAATAGATGGCAGATTATGGATTCCACTGCTTTGCACCTGACTGGATTGGTTTTGGGTTTAGTGACAAGCCACAGTCAGGATATGGTTTTGACTACACTGGTTAGTTACATTGCACTTTATGCCCCATCCTAAATCTAATGATGTACAATGTTTCAGAATATGGCTTTACCAAGCAGATATCTTGACTTATGGATGAAATAAATTATGGCAGAGAAAGAATTCCATGAACAATTTGATAAGTTACTTGATGTTCTTGGAATTACATCCTCTTTTTACCTTGTAGTCCAGGTATGAACCTACCACGGGTTTGCAGTTAATTCCTGTTCATTGGCCTGAATCCTTGATTATGTGATGAAGAATTAAAGAACTATCACTTCCATTCAAAAAAAGAGTGCTGGTTGACCATTGCTCAATTATCTAATTTTGAAAGTGTACAACCCTCGTAAATGATGAATCATTCTTAAACTTTTAAATTTTAATGTCGGTTTAACTAAATACTGCATATGTAACTTATTCGGGATTCGTTTTTGACATATTACATGAAAACATGTCTTAGATTTATCAAACTGGATTTCTTTTTAGGACAAAAGAAGTGTTTGAAATATGACTTCTTTTTGGGGCAGAGGGAATATCATGTTCACGACACCTTAAGAACTTCAATTTTTACGTATTAACCTGATGAGTTCTTGTGATGGTAATTTTTAAAGGGATATATTGCCTTGAACTTTGGTTGTGATAACTTTCTTGTAGGGATTCCTTGTAGGATCATATGGATTAACTTGGACCCTTAAAAACTCCAGTAAAGTATCAAAACTTGTGATTCTCAACAGTCCGTTGACACCTTCATCTCCCATTCCTTGGCTCTTTAAACAACTCAGGTTTCCTTTATGCTGTTCAGTTTTCTTTTATTTTGAAGTTCACAAAGTTTTATCAGTCAGTGAAGTTCACCAAAGTTTTAGCTGAGATCTTATGCAATCAGACATGTATTTTACATTGAATCATATAAACATAGGATTATAACTTGAAAGCTTTACTGAGATTACATTTGTCTTCTTTCAATTGAATGTCATCCTGCTGGTCAAAATAGTATTTTTTACTGGTGCCCTGCATTTGGAAAAACCACAGAGACAAATATTTACCCTTTTTAATTATGAGAGAATTCCTTAAATGGTAGCAAAACATGGACAAAGTGCACAAATAAGTCCTATTTTGGGGAAGTTATATTCTTATAATAGAATCACACAAGTCCTATTATGGGAATGAAACATAGATACTTCTATTTGTGTACTTTATGTATATTTTACTCCTATTTGCAGTAATTTCTTATTTAATTATTTCCCAGGACTTCAACCTAGCTGTTCCTCTAACATATATATGAAGATTGTGATATCATCTTCCATCACATATATTATAGGCATGAGAGAGCATAATTAGAATTTCTTGTTGATTAATACTCCCAAAAACTTGGATCTCTTCAGAGTTCAGACTGATAATCTACTTGTTATACATCAAGTCAATCTGGATGGTACTACAAGCTGCAAATGAACAATTGATTTGTAAATCTTATGTGCATTGTACTTGTGAAAGTATAAAACTGAAAGAATGTTACATTTGGTGCTTCACATAGGTTCCTAGCAAGCATTTTAAATGTGCTGTTCATCATTTTTTGAAGTATTGGGTTTTTATATATTTGTGTTCCTTAGTTAATGAATTTTCAGTATAGCTTTGTTTTCTGTAAACATATGCATACGAGTACGACAACAACTAAAAACCCCCACAATCAAGAACTTTTTTCCCACCCTTTCCTCTCATGCACCATATGTTCAATAAAGCCCAATGCTCTCATGTGCCTTTTGACACCTTTAGTCCAAGTCAGTTTTGGTCTACCCTGTTTCTCTCCCTCAGTTTATCTTCAATATCCCCGCATGGCCCCATTCTCCCAGAGACCCAGGAATTTCTTCATTATGCACTCCATCTTTTCTAGTCATATGAGTTTAAGCCCAAAGAAACAAAAACAAGTGTTTTACAAAAACAAGGTTAACAATTTAACACATCACACTAATATAAACACCTAATGGTTGTGGGAGTACAAGAATTATGGACATCCCATTGCATTGGCCAATGTGAACATGGACTCTGCTTATTATGTGTTTGATTTGCTTTTCTCATATTTGCTAACATTTATATCCTCTTCATTCTTTTTGAGCTAGAATTCCATTTTTTGGTGAGTTTACCTGCCAGAATGCAATAATGGCAGAGCGTTTTATCGAAGCAGGCAGCCCGTATGTATCAACAACAATATCTTTCGTATTTTTCTTTTTAAATTCTTAGCGGAGGCTTTCCAGATCACTGCTTCAACCTAAAGTAACAATCCTTTAATATTGACGACTTCTGGCTGAAAATGCCTAAAAGTCCTTTCTTTAACTTTGTCTAGTAAAGCTGTTAATTTTGTTTTTTTGACTAGTAATAGCCTATTAGCCTCTATTATCTTATTGTATTTCAGCATTTTTGTATTCACCACTTATTATACTCTGTTACATAATCACAGAGACTAAAAGATAAATTTGATTGCAGTTATGTTCTAAAACTGGAGAAGGCTGATGTGTACAGGTTACCATATTTGTCAAGCAGTGGTCCGGGTTTTGGTAACTCCCACCATCTGTACTATTACTTCTCCATTAAGTTTCAATTTGCCCTAGTTGTTCATCTGTGCACGCTAACATAACTTGTAATTAGATTTTTAGTTATTCCCATTCTTTGGGGTGGAAAATTCAATCATAGGTTATCTAGCTGTGACTATCTCACACGAGTGACATGAGATAAGATATTTATATACCTTTATATTTTAACTATGGATTTCTTTGTGGACTGACAACAATATCGTGAGCTTCAGCTTTGCTTGATGCGGCAAAGAGAGCTAATTTCAAGGACATCCATAGCCAAATATTATATGGTTTTGCCTCTGGAAGGTAATACTAACATTCAGTTGTGTAGTCAAGAGGGTATATCAGGTTGGGCTGATCGCCTGATACAGATAATCTTTCTGATAAAATTTTATACTATTTTTACACATAAGTTTAAAACATTTTAAATATTTGGGATGGGACGGGGCCTAGTATCCCCCAGCTATGCCCCTGTTGACATTCTTTTTTTAAGAAAAGAGAATTTTAAAAGAAAAGAGAATTTTATTCTTCTTATACTACAAATAAGATAAGATAGAAGACATATTAGTATTTACATATTTGTAACAAACGGCTTTTAGAAATTGTGATTTGGAATTGTCTTATTTCAGGTGGGATAAACCAACTCTACTGGCATGGGGAATATCAGATAAGTATCTTCCGCAATCAGTGGCTGAAGAGTTTCAAAAGGGAAACCCCGAATTTGTCAGGCTTAAACTGATTGAAGGTGCAGGCCATATGCCGCAAGAAGACTGGTAATTTTAAATGCTGCTTTGGATGTGTGTATTTGACTTTTTGATGTGGATGAAAACTGTAACAACGTTTATTTCCCTATATGCAGGCCTGAAAAAGTAGTTGATGCCTTGAGAGCATTTTTTTTATCAGCATGGAACTTGTAGGAACTTCAATTGTTTGTCTAGTTAGAATAATTACCCTTTTTTGTTAAGTAGATAACATTACTGTTGGATTCTTAGATATAATACTTTACTTGGCGTGTACATAAGACCAGAAGAGTTCCCACAGTTTTAAGTAAAAAATACTGCCAAATATTGCAATTGAGTTTATAGTTTCATGCGTAATACTCCGTATTACACTTTTTTCTTTCTTTCCTTCAGCTGCATGGATATCCAATTATCCACCATAAACGCTGATTATAGCAGGAAAGATAAGCAGAGTAAATTCCAAATATTTCTGAAATTAGATACTTGAATGTGTAAATTTGAAGATTCTGAACCAATGGCTACTACATGTATTTCCCTTACCCCTTGATTAATACGGAGTATATAACAACAAATTATGGATCAAGACTCAAGAGGCATCTTTTGCTTCTGGAAATACATGCAGCAGCAGTATTTTATTACTTATATAAATTAGATAAGAATGTTAAAAAATAGAGAACTTTTAATTACAAAGATAGATCGGCCAAATCAAAACTTCTAGTGACAGCTTTGCACCAAGAATCCACCTTCTTCTTCCTCAGTTCATCATCAATCACTGGATGGAAAATGGCAGATTTTTCCTTTCTCTCGCCTGATGAAAATATTTCACTTTCTGTCCAGACTCCAATAGCTAATCCGGCAGCTAACGCAGCCCCAAGGGCTGTCGTCTCTATATCCGCTGGCCTCACCACTGGACTGCCTAGCAAATCTGCCTACAAAATCATGCATAACAGGAATTTACATACCAGAACAATTTATTTAATGCTGATACTGTGGGACAGACCATGTCTGGACAAGTAAATCGAGAAGCTAATGGAGCTGACTGATCTTAATATTGGAATTTGCCATGTTGCAGAAGTAGCTGAATGACTAACTTAGAAACAAGAAGACACATTTTTCTTTTAAAGTAATTTAGTGGCCTCTGGGTAGCCATTTTTCAATCTCTCCGTCTTAACACCCTGATTTTTGGACATTTTTTTCCTTTTCTTTTGAATGCCAGGGGTCTTTTCTGTTGTTGAAACAGTTAAAGGTGTTTAAGGTAACCATTTAACCAATTCAAGTATTCAACCATCAACATCAATTTAAGCACATTCAGCCCCTTCAGTTAAGCCTTAACGGGCTCTTAATAGCTACCTCAGAAATTAGTTTGTGTTGTGCCAAAAAACCATTATGATACAAGATCTGAAAAGGTTGTTGGGTCCTCTATAATTTGGCGAGTCAGGTCCCGAACCCACTAGTTCCCTCTCTCCACAACACCCACTGGCTTTCAAACCTCAACACTTGAGCAAGGAAACCAGGGAAAACGGATACTGAAAATAAAATTGAAGAAATCACCATATTGAGCTCCAAGATTTTTTTGGCAACAGGTCCTGATAGAAAAGACTAACTTGGTTTATGTTTTCTTGTGTCTGGTTTTTCAACAAAAAAAATGCAAAGACAATTATTTTTGAGTTTTTATAAATGTGTTTCATTTCCGAATCTTTATTTAATATTATAAATATATTATAAAAGGAGTTTTCACAAATACTGTGCATAAGTTTAAAGTCCTTCAATTTAAACTCATCATCATCATCATTACCCCAGTGCCGCAAAGGCTCCCACACCTTCGGTGGGATAAGGGGGGTCGGATGTACGCAGTCTTACCCTGTGCTAAAGCACAGAGAGACTGTCTCCCACACCTTCAATTTAAACTATAAAAAAACAATATTTTCCATCACATTTTTTGTCCTTGTTAATTTCCGCTCTATAATTTCCTCCGTATTTTCATTCCCTTGGACTTGTCAAGTTCCACTTGTCAAGTTCCACATGAACCTTCAGAGGTTAGATTGTGTGTGTGTGTGTGTGTTTCTTGAGTGGGAGAGTGTGTACCTGTATCTGCATCAGAAGATTGTTAACAGTGGCCCCACCATCAACCCTAAGTACGAATTCCCCTAAATCATTCTTAACCTCCCCCTTTTCCCCGGCATCCTTATGCATTGACTCTAAAACATCCCTAACTTGAAAACACATACTCTCAAGAACAGCTCTAGCAATGTGGGACTTGTTTGTGAACCTTGTGATCCCAATACAAATTCCCCTAGCATCATCCCTCCACCATGGCGCAAACAGCCCATTAAAAGCCGGCACGAAATAAACTCCCCCACTCGAATCAACCTTTGATGCCAACTCCTCAATCTCACTAGCGCTGCTGATTATATTCAGACTATCCCTAAGCCACTGGACAGCTGCTCCAGCTATGGCAATCGAGCCCTCCAAGGCATAATTTGCTGGAGCGTTTGGTCCCAGCTTATAAGCCAAAGTGCTTAAAAGTCCATGGTTTGACTTGATCGCCTCCTCACCGGTGTTAAGGAGTATGAACGCACCTGTTCCGTATGTGCTCTTTGCTTCACCTCTTCGGCAAGCCTGGCCCACCATTGCAGCGTGTTGGTCCCCAAGGCAACCCGATATTGGGATATCTGTGATTGGCCATCCCTTGGCAATGTTCCCTATGATTTCAGAGTTGCTAACGATTTTGGGCAAAATCTCACTAGGAATTCCCAATAGGTCAAGTGTTGGCTTGTCCCAATCAAGAGTTTTGAGGTTCATTAACATGGTTCTTGATGCATTGGACACATCGGTGACGTGGAGCCCTTTGTCCACTCCTCCAGTCATATTCCAAATTATCCAAGTGTCGACCGTCCCAAAAAGGGCATCCCCTTTCTTTACGGATTCCTTGACAGCATCCACGTTCTCCAACAGCCACAACAGCTTCATGGCACTGAAGTAGGTGCTTATAGGCAGTCCACATGTCTCAACAAAATGAGTTCTCCCACCAGGTAATTCCTTCTCCAATTTCCTGATCAGGTAAGAAGTTTTACTCAATCCCAAGTTGAGAAAAAACAAAAAATTGAGAAAACGTAAATGTATACCAAGAGAAAGAATCGTAAAGCAATAGTGCGGCCTCACCAAAGTATCTACAGGCACATACAAACAACGAAAACAGATAAATCTCATCTCTTGGACTTGTTTGAACCCGAAATTGGTGGAGAAAAGGAAAAAAAATGCAAATGAAAATGGGGGTTCTCTGTTTAGCTTACCTTGATAAACATGAAGGCAAGTCAAACTTGAATAGAACTTTGTCCGTGTTTACATATACTAATTTATCAGATTCAGAAGTGAAATCCCCATCATTTTGGCTATGTTTGGATTTTGTAAAGTGCTAAAGAAAGTTATTTAAAAAAAATATGATTGGTTTTACCTCAGAAAATGCAAAAGAAAATGAAATATGATTATAATTTCAAACTCTTTACATATCTTTAGATTTCATGATCAAACAATAGAAATGGATTTAAAAAAACACAAATTTTAATATTTAATAAACATTAACTTATTGTTTAACCAATACCTTATCTTCCTTACATTTTCCTTCCTTCTATAATTTCCTCTCTATTTTCTTTCCCCAATTTTTACAGAGTTCCAAGTAGGCCCTTTGTCGTTTTTGTTTATACTCCAAGTTTTACAAATGTAATCACGAATAACAAATCAAGCCACAAAATTTAAATAATAAATTAAATGGATTGTAGAGGGGAAGGAAGACCTGCAAATGGAAGTAGTACGGGCGTCCATCCAAACAATGGCATTGTAGAGAGGAAGGCCGGTGGATTTGCTCCATACCACGGTGGTCTCTCTCTGATTGGTGAGACCCACGGCTTTGAGACCGCCGTCAATGTTGTGGCCATCGGCGGTGGCCTTGTCGACGGCCTTAGCAATACAGATCTTCACGCTCTCGAGAATCTCCACCGGATCATGCTCCACCCATCTGCACCCGAAACCAACCAACAGTAGACGTTGAGCTTTGAATGATTGAAAAGGAAAGAAATTTGAATGTAGAAATGGGTTACCCGGGTTGAGGGTAGAACTGGGTGAACTCGATCTGGTGGGATCCGACGGGTCGGGCGGAACGGTCGTAGATGATGAAACGGGTGCTGGTTGTGCCCTGATCAATTGAGCCGATGAACACTGCTTGCTGCTGCTCAGACATTCTCCGGCGTGGATAGGTATGCTTCCTACTCCGTCTGCGAGTCTTATCACAAGGGAGGGAGTGCGTATAAAGTGGTTGACTTTGGAATTATCGTTGGCAGGTAAAGCCTAAAGGTACTTGCTTTATCCAATCCCTGTCAGTCTTTATCTTTATAGTACTTGTTGATTTATGATTACGGTTTGTGTTGAAAGAACAGTTTCATACGTAGTACACACTCCTCTTGTTGTCCACAATTCGTTCCGAAACTCCTGTGTACATGGGCAGTGTGTACAACAAAAAAGTACAAAAAAAAGTGTATAAGTAGCAAGCTCCATCATTCTGTACTCTCTTGTCCTTAAAATTTGGTTTTTTCCTTTTTTTATCCAAAAACTTTATCACTTACACATTTAATCAATAAATTTATATTTTTTTTCTGTTTTACACTAAATTTAGAGTTTTTTTCGGAATTAGTGCGGATTAAATAAATTATTAGCAAAATAATGTTGGGTTAAAAGTATTTATCGATCTACTGCTGGCTCAACCAGGTTTAGGAGAGTCGCCAAATGGTTTGGTGACTTTCCTTTAAACAGATAGACGGATCGGGCAGAACGAAGATAGAACGCAGTTCAGTTCCCTCCCACCCAAAAAAAAAACCTCCGCAACAAAACCTTGTTCGAGCTCCCATCTCCGACGACTGCAAGGCAAGGCGAGACCGGTCTCCATCTTCGAGCTCCTCCCCTTCACCTTCATCTTCTTCAACACTCTTTTTCTAGGAAAATCAAACTTCATTTCATCTCATATTTCAAGTTAGGGTTTAGAATGTATAAATTTCGAATTTTTAGATTAGGAATTGATTTGTGAATTGGTTTGTTGTGAAATGTGTATATGTATGAAATGTTGAATTTTAATGTTGAATTCAATTTAATATTTTGATGTTGGTGTCGATTTCTTGTGTAATGTCAATTTGAATGTAATATTTTGATTTTTTTGTTTGAAAAATCTAATATTTTGATTTTGTTAAGTGTGGTATATCTAATAGAATTTCTAAAATATTAGAGTTTTTAATACGTTGTTATGTCTATTAAATGTTGAATTTGAGTGTATAAAGTGTGTATAATAATGTGTACTCATCAATTATCATCATGTATTATTATTAGAATATGGATTTCTCCAACTCCCAATAATTTGTCATTGGGAAGGGAAATTATTTGAGGAAGCAGGGGGTATACGCTATGAAGGTGGTAAGAGACGGATGTTTATCGTTTCTCGTGGCGCTTGTATGCGTGAGATGCTGCAAAAAATTATATGCAGTTACACAGATTCCTCCGAGCCATTCTTTGCAAGTGCGGGTGAAATATCCCCTTCACGGGGATCATACATGCTTCTGCCACTTGATGATGAGGAAGTTGTCACGGCATTGTGGATGATAGTTCAGATGATGACTATGTCCACAATGGAAAGAATACATTGCAGGAGGATGAGGAGGAGGAGGAGGAGGAGGAGGGAGGGGGAGGGGGGGGGAGGAGAGATTCATGATTGTGTATAATCAGCGAACAATTATAATTAGGGACATGATTGTATATAATACCCGATTAAGAAGATGTAGTAAATTTTCAACGATCGGAAATTTTAATTTTGCAACAAGGAGACAAGGTGGGAAACAAGAAAAATTGGAGGATATGAGGGATACCATTTTCAACCTTGAAAGTTAGAGGTCTAGAAGAAATGCCAATATATGTCAATCTCATGTGAGTTTGTACATATTTAACCCATGATTATTCTTTTGGATCAAATACTTGATTAAAATTTGATGGATAGAGTTGAGTCGGCCTGGTTATGCGGGTTTTTGTTTAGCCCTAGAGTTGAAATTTGAAAAGGGTGGGTAATAAAGAGAAACTATGAAATAGACGTTACAATGTACAGTAAGGTAAATATAAAAAACAATTGATGTTGAAATGGAGGAGATAAGGTAAATATAAAAAACAATTGATGTTGAAATGGAGGAGATAAACAGAATGAGAACGACTATACCAAGATTACTCAAATAAAATGTCAAAAAAATTCTATAAACATAGTTTTATGTTCTATGGTAAATAATGAGAGACGTTAAAAAATATGAGAGATTATAAGAGAACATATGCACAAAAGCACACCATTTAACCTAAAAGTTCAATTTGTGAGTGAACTTGAGATATGTGACTGGAACATACATACATACATAGCATTATAATTTACAGTTCTATACATACAATTTTAACCATTGGTAAATAATTGGGACCTTATTAGTTTTAGCGAACAACCATGGATAAAAGTTATTAGTAGTAGAGTTTCTAGACATGTGCTATGTGGAGCAATGCTCTCATCCCCTTCCCGCTTTGGAAATTTTCCCAATGAAGATCTGCATAATCTTTCACCCTCTTGTAAACCCTTCGTTCTTCATCATTAAAAAATAACCCCTTTTCTGGTCCAATTTCTGTTCCTATTTCAGGTGTATAGAATACAGCTACTGATATTCTATCGCTCTCTGAACTGCTCAAAACCCTATGAACTGGGCTCTTGAATATCCCATTACTCATTATCTGCAACATCATTCAAAACCTTATGTGACCAATGAATCAAATTTATTGATTGATATTTTAAGTTTACAATATCAACAGAACTTTGAATGTCTATTATTAATAGTACCGACTACCGAGTACTATTTAAATATCAGGCCGTATATGGTAGGGATTAAATTTTTGTTCTGTTGGACATAAATCAGCACAGAATAGATGACTTAAACAGATTGAACAAGATCCAAACAGATAGATCAGACTAGAAGACATTTTCACTTTTACTTTTATACTTTCAACACAATTGAAATCAGAAAATGAATTTGTATCTTAAAGAAGAATATGTATCTTATTAAGCGAGAGAGAAAAGAGTACGTATTAATTGGATATGGGGGGGCTCCAAATAATGTGAGACAAAGTTGGACATTGTATGATATGGTATGAGAAAATTAAACCATTATTAGGGGGCCTTATCAATTTTATTAGCAGACAACTATGGATGCATATTGATAGTGCTTATTAGCAGCATCGATCTAGACATTTGCTATGTGCAACAATGGTCTTATGCCCTTCCCACTTCGGTAGTTTTCCAAATAAAGATCTCCATAATCTTTGACATTCTTGTAAACTCTTTGTTTTTCATCAAGTAGTAGCCCCTCTTCTGGTCCAATCTCTTTCCCGGTTTCAGGTATATAAAACATAGCTACAGATATTCTGTCCCTCTCTGAACTGCTCAAAACCCTATGAACTGGGCTCTTGAATATCCCATTAGTCATTATCTGAAAAATCACATACAGTGCATATATGGCAACAAGAAGAAAAAATAATGGGCATGGAAGTATAAAACTAAACCCCAAAAAATATGATTTACCTCCATTTGATCACCCATTATAACCAGGATGGCATGCGGGTTTTTAGGAACAGTGAACCATTTGTCATTCTTGAGAACTTGGAGCCCAGCTTCATCTTGTATGATTACTGTGTAGCCTGACCCATCTGAGTGGGGCTTTAGGCCAAGAACAAGATCTGGCCTTTGGCATGGTGAATAGTAGTTGAACCTTGCACTCAGTTGTGATCTCTCACCAAACTGTCTGTGGAGGCAACTTTCTTCCAAATTTAGTGATCTTGCCATGGCTTTTGAGGTCAATTCGGTCACCGTTTTGATCTTCTCCGTGTACTCTTCCAATACTTCTCTGCATTGAAAGCTCAACGTAATATCATAACAACCAAATATATAAAATATAACAGTATGTAACTCGCATGTAAAGTCTTAGACTATTCCTCTAATCGGCTTTGACTTTTATAACTCGAGGTGTGTTCATATCTCACATATTTAGTCTTAGACTACGTACTCATCTAGTCGGGTTGATCTCTTTAAGATATAAGAGAGTAGATTTAAGCTAGAATGCATTTGTTAAGCTAAATGTGAAACCAATGTGACTAAAGCTTATCCAGAGTAGATTTAAAAATTGATCTATTACAACTGCCAATGAGCTACCATCTTGCAGAATACAAAAATATTTCAATGTCCCACATAAGAGCGGTGCCGAATTACTTACCGAAAAGACTCTGGATTTTTTGGCCAAAAACTATAGTTTCTCATATCTTGAGGATGGACATTGAGATAGAGGCGATCAGACCAATCAAGTGGTTGTCCCTCTTGAGGAGGGGGGTCAGCTCCATAACCTTCAAAGTCTTTTAGCCCTTTGGCATACTTCATTTTCTCTTCCATTGGTTGTTGAAAGAATCCCCTTGAAACTTGTAGTACCTTATCTAGAAAAGAGGTACACATCCCATGTCCTACGGCCTGAAATTAATCACAGTACCAGAAAAGGAAATAACAAGAATCTGTTAACAAACAACAAAACAATCTAATCTTTGAAATGATGATGATGAATTAATGATACCAGGTATTGTAACTAACAACAAAACAACAATCTAATCTTTTAGTAAAATAATCTAATAACTTTTTAGTAATACCAGGTAAGAGTTGCCAAACTCTAAGTTTGGAGGTTTTTCCTATGTAAAACAAAAAAACTAGAAGTTCAGTAAGTCTTAAAATTGTTGAAAATGATTGAAACTACTAAAACGGTTAAGTCATGGCCAAATCCAAATTTTACAAACACTGTAGGGAATATTTTTCTAGAAAAGCAAGTATAAAAACATATTGATCAAAGACTAAAATCATGATATTCAGCAAACTCGATATTTCTAGAATACATTTAGCCAAAAAAGCTACTTCACTTCTCTTTTTTCTATTTTTACAAATTCAATGTACAAAGATAAACAAATTATTAATTTTTATATGAAATCTGGTTAGTGACACTGGTAAGGCCAAAGATATACTCTTTATGTATATATATGATATGAACTTGAGAGAAGAAGGGATGGGATGTAACTTGAAAAAGACCCCATGACGAGAGGGCTGATCTGAGTTTGTCTAGTTCTTCTGTCTGATCGGTCTCTCCGTGGTTCAAAAAACTGCTTAAATCAATGGTGGGAATGTCAGAAGTATTACTGCAGGGCTCTTCTTCTTCTTCTTCTTCTTCCCCACCTCTGCAAATATATGGCCCTGATGGCTCCTCGCCATTGATGACCATTTCCTGAACCCTTCTGGAGAGCAGCACATCGGCAGCAGCTGGAGCTTCTGACATGACATATGCTGTGGTAGCTGATTCTCACAACCCAATCTGGGAATGTGTTTCAAAAATTATTGCTTCACACCATTCTTTATCATTGATTGTTCATGATTTTTGTCTGACAATTTGACTCCATTCTTGGTCTTATCTAGTTATCTTATTTACATGCTTTGAGAAATTTCCCGCAAGAAGTTAAAATTTAGCTGATCTCACTGTTGAAAGAATCCTTCCATGACATGATTAGGACCGAATCAATTATATATGGGTCGGATATTCATATTTTCCAACCATTCAATCCTATACTAATAGATTTCATCTACCGACTAGATAGCTCATATTTTCAGGTTATAGAGGCATAGAAACGAAACTTGTATAGAGATAGAGTATGTAATTATCCCATGTACGGAGTATTAAAAATCTGTGATGTGTTCAAATGTTTTTTTTTGTTTTGCAAAAATGTGTTCAAATGTTTAAATGTTTCAGAATTGGAAACCTTAATGGCCTCAAAATCAGTTTAAATTTCCCTCATAATAATAATTACTTAATGTATCAAAAAAGTTAGTTTTCTTTTAAAGATCCAAATAAGAGGTGTTAGGAATTCATTCTTCTTCTACTTTTTATTAATTTTATTAAAAGTAGAAATAGAATCAGAAAGATCTTTTTAAAAATAAGTGTCTCCTAGATTTTAAAAAACTTTTTATGTGAGCAATTTTTACTTTTATTCAAACACTCTCTGTTTGCTTCTACTCCTCAAAGGATCCGAAGGAGTTTGAAGAAGCAAATCCAATCACCTTAGGTTGTAAAAACTTTTTTAATTGAATTTACTCATAGTAATCTTTTTCTTTCAAATATTGTTTCTTTTATTTCAACAATAAAATAGAAGTATATATCAAGCATAATTATCACTTCGATAATTTACAAAATTTCACCAAATTCAGTGGATCCATTCAATCTAAGCAATTTCAATTTTAACAAAAAGGCTCATATTTTAAAAGACATGAAGGCGGATAAATCAAAACATATATATGAAGAATTGATTGAAAATATTTGGTTGTAGTTTATTTATGAAAGTAATAAATTTTATGATCAAACAAATTTACTATTTTGTCATTTTCTTTATTTCTTTTTGTTCTCCACTCAACACAACCACAACCAAGTATTGTTCTTGGTTGATATGTCAAACTTGAGAATGTACAAGGGAATGAATTGACAGTGTGTGCTTCGGGGTCCGGGTGCTTAGCCTTTCGATCCTCTAATTATTTAGTTAATATATGAAATAAAACCAATCAAAAATATGATGACCTTTCGATCCTCTAATTATTTAGTTAATATATGAAATAAAACCAATCAAAAATATGATGACTTTCTTAACTTACAAGTTATAACCAATAAAATGAATTAAGGATGCGCAAAATTAAAGTGATATGACTTACTCGTATTAATCATGAATAGTTAGGATATGACTAATTCATTTTATTTCAACACTTTAATACGGAGTACTACTTTGTGATTTTATTTATTTCTTTTTGTTCTCTACTCAAGATAATCACAACCAAGTAAGTTGTAATGTTCTTATTTGATACTCCGTATGTCAAATTTGAGAATGTACAAGGGAATGAATTGACATTGTGTGCTTAGACCATTTGTAGTGGTTAAGAGTCTATATTGTTAAATTTGGACACCGTTTATATGAAAACAGTGTTTAGACTCCGTCAATACTGTTTTTCCCTGAATCCGTGCACCGTCAATAAATACACTCTGCGTATTTTTTGCATATCAATTTAGTAAAACATTAACTAAATTATTATAATTAATATTTTACTTTTAATTTTTTCCCTGAATAATTATGAAACAAAAAATACACATTTCGATGTAAAAATAAATAAATCTCATTAATTATTTTTTAATGTTTTTCGATTAACAAAAAAATGAACTTAGTTCAAGTAAAGTTCGATTATAAAATATTCAATTATTTTTTAAGGCTCTATAAAGGGAAATTATCATTGACCTCCCTTGAGGTTTGATGTATTATCAATCACACCCCTATACTATCAAAAATATAATCTTACCCCCCTCCCTATCCATTAATGATGGTTAAATAACTCTTAATATATATTTAGAGCAAATTATAGATATAATTTCATAACCTTTCATTATGTCGCTTTTAATACTGTAATTTTATTCAATCACAAATTTGGTCGGGTAATTAATAAATTTGTCCATACTAAATACATTTTTATCAAAAGTCGAACAAAATATTAAAAAAAAAACAAAAACTGACCTCACTTTAGGTAGTTCGTTTTATGCCTTTGAATTTGTAAGGGAAAACTATCAAATAAGCCCCTGTACTATACCGAAAAAGTCGATTAGGCCCTCGTACTTTACAAACACTCAATTAAGTCCTTGAACTATTAAAAACGTTCAATTAAGCTATTTTGGTCGGTAAGTAATCGGTTTCCCGGTTAAATGTAACTCATTTCCCGACAGCCGCCGTTGCCGGGGTTCGAGCACATCATCGCCGTTATCGCCGTTTAACCGAGAAACCAGTTACTTACTGACCGAAAGGGCTTAATTGAACGTTTTTTAATAGTTCGGGGACTTAATTGAGTGTTTGTAAAGTACGAGGGCCTAATCGACTTTTTTGGCATAGTACGGGGGCTAATTTGATAGTTTTCCCAATTTGTAAAGTTAGTAAATTTACTCAATTGAAAATGATCAAAATACGCTAAATTTGTCAAAAATTGAAACAAATCAACTTAAATGAACCAAACCCACTCAAAAATGAAGTTTACTACTAGATTTTACCATTAAAAATTAAATGCAAGAAAATTTCCAATTTGCACTCTAGACACTCTTTGTTATCACTGGAAATGAGATCATTATAGGTATAATAACAGCTTGTAAATTAATATTTGACAAAATATGAACATGTTTACATGTAAAAATACTGGTAAAACAATTATAGTTTAGGACGGGTTGCACACCCAAACTGGTTAGTGCTAAATAATTAGGGCGACCCATGACCTTATATTCGGTTCCAATTTCCTAATTGGTCAAGATTCGCTCCCAATAATTCAAATATTTTAACTACCTATTTTTCAACTTGTAAATGGGCTATAACTCATCTTAAAATATTCTCAATGGTTTTAATGAAAAAAAATGAATGAGGTCAAAACAAGGGCTCCAATCCCGATCCCAAAAAGTGAGGCACGAGGCCTCTTTTCCACCGGTCTGGTATCGGTCCCGATCTGAATTCTTAATTTAAAATTCGGCCATTCTCGAGATCGGGCCTTGTCCTCCCCGAATATGAATCACAAAAGTAGGTATTTTGACCACTTTCCATACGAATCAACAATCGGTAACAATAGTCTCCTAAAAGTTCTTCACCAACATCTATTTTAGGTATAAAATAATATTCCTTGTTATCAGGCATTTTTCCCTCGTTAGAAAAGTTTCACCAAGATTTCTACAATCTCAGATATATTTTCGAACTTTAAAAAGTAATAGATATTTATTGTTTTAAGTTTGTACCTTTCGATTGTGTTTGCTACTAGTTCTATAATTTTACTAACATGTAGATGTATTTAAGTACCTAATAAATTTGTCAATAGTAAGGACTATTTCATCGGAAAGTATGTGTTCCTGCAAAAAAAGCACTTTCTGGTAGAAAGATTCTTAATACAGGTAAATTTATTAAGTATCAGATTAAATCTGCAAGTGAGAAAATTTATAAAACTAAATTTATACTTTTGCTAAACGTAATTATGAGTTATTAAATTTTCATTAAAGGATAGGGAGGGGGGTAAATGCATATTTTCAAAAGTGTGGGGGTCTAAGTGATAATACATGAAACCTCAAGGGAGGTCAATGATAATTTCCCCTCTATAAATGAAAATTTTGTATTTCATATTTTTGGGCTCAAGAAAAGTTCAACAGCTAAAACTTCATTTTTTTTCCATTTTATATATTACATAATGGTGTCATATGAAAGATCTTAAAAATTCATGAATTTTGATATATTTCTTGAAAACATTGAAAAACAAACACAAAAGTTATAAGAGTTTGAAATAATTAGGGGTAATAATGACATCACCATGATGGAAGCATGTTTTCTTTCCAAGCAGCGTATGACTCTGCGTGCTAGCCCCTTCCCTCATTTTAATTTCATTTTCATTTACTTTTTGGCTGGCAATACACCTTCCAAATTTAAACCCTTCCATCCCCTTCTCCATTTTTACTACCCTTCATAACCCACCAATGTATGAAATTAGGAGTCCAAAAATGTCATTTTAACATTTTGGACTCCTAATACGTCATTACCTCACCACTCCAATCAGCCTTAGGGGGTCCGGGTGCTTAGCCTTTTGATCCTCTAATTAAGGCCGTCAGAAAGCAACATTATTTAGTTACTACTCCTATATGAAATATAACCAACCAAAAATATAATGACATTCCTAATTTACAAGTTACAACCAATAAAATGAATTAAGGGTGCGCAAAATTAAAGTGATAATTACTAGTGTTATTTACATAGATCTCAAAAGTTAAAGATGTTTGAAGCTCTTAGTACGTAGTACTCCATATATTATTAGATTGACTGGTTATATATATAAGAACACGAATAACACTATACTTCTTCTATAAAAACACTACATATACATTCATATAAAATACTAAAAATTGGTAGCTAGATTGCAATTTCAATTCATCGAAAGTTGAATACTACGCTATATATACTAACAATATATACGCTCCACCCAATCCGATGAGAGTTAATTATGTTGTGTCTCTACGCATCTTATATATATTTTTCACCAAGAAGTAAATTAAAATGAATACAATTATTGCAAGGATGATGCCAGTTAACTGATAATCATTTATGCAGAAAGAAGGAACTGGAGAAGAAGAATGAGCTCTTCGTTCTGGTGGACTAAATTGTCGGGCCTTCGCCGATGACATTTTCTATTCTTTATCACTGATCAACTTAAGTGTTTTGTGACAATTTTTATTCAACAAATTAACTTGAATGTTACTATTCTGTGTATATATAAAAGAAATTGCTGGAGAAGACTCTTCATTGAGTACATACATACGTCTTTCAATTATATTCAATTCCGTGGTTATTCATTATGAAGAATTAATAGCATGATATTTGTAAATCAAACTAAATAATTAAATTCCGGATTGGATATTAAGTATTTTCAATGTTTAATTTAAGATCTTTTACGTAAATACATAGTTAATTCGATTCATGTGCATCCTTATCTGATTTCCTCCATGTCCATTTAATGTCATTTTTATTACATAAAAAGTCCAGATACACCTTTTCATACTTCAAATCCATCCAATAAGAGATTCTTTAAAAACTGTTTCTCAAATGAAAATAGCTACAATAATATAGTCTCATAGTCACCTACCTAAGTGTAAAAAATGAATATAAATTGTTTGACTAAAGTTAGTGCAATAGATAGTATATTAAGGTCATATATAGTTTTGTGAATTTTTTTTATTTTTGTTGCATATATAACTTTTCCAACTTTTCTTTTTTGTTTGTCCAAAAAAAACTTTGTCATTTTCTTGTTAAAACGATGAACTTGTGGCTCTACTCATTTCTCTGTCATCTACACAAATGTCAACCACACACTTTTTACTATTTTAATTTCACACTCAACATTAACTTGGTAAATTAAGTTGAGTGCGATGGAGTTAGTATGTAATTATTTCATCATTTTAACCTTTATATAAAAAAGTATAAAATCAACACACTTTTTTTGGTGTGTGGAGGAAAAGAGAATTTACTAATAGAATAAATCAGCGTTACAATCAAGTATCAATAAATCGATTATATGGTGTGGTGACTCAAGTCATAAAACCGATGTTGTTCTATGGGGTGTTTGGCAATCCATTATCTTGTGTGGTGACTCAAGTCATAAAACCCGTGTTGTTCTATGGAGTGTTTGGCAATTGGCTGATTCATAACAGCGGAATCTGTTGGCTGTTTTGATTAGCTGATAATATTAGCAATTCGTAAAATGGTGTTTGATTAAATGGCTGTATACCGTTAAACCGCGCAATATATTTCAGAATATCATTTGACTATCTTCTCGATTTTATTTTTATCTGAAATTTGATATGGTTAAACTAGACTTAATGAATAAGATGCTCAAAAATTTTCATCAAAAAATTTCACCGGGAACCATTCAAAATGGTGACGGTCGAACAGAACCTCTTATATAAGAGATGATTTGCACTTTTTGGATAGTTTGAGGACTTATCAATTCATTGAACTGAACGAGTTACCTCAACCACAATTCATTGATTGAAGTCATTGAACTGATTTAGCCCAACCTACTCTCAGCTAATTTCACCATCAATGAATGGACCAGTGTAGTAGGTAAGAGCAACCTAAAAGAATGAGATACTACTTGCCAATAAAACAAAGAGGAAATTACCATATTACGGGAGTATGGCGTCTGACATGCCAAAATACAGGAAAGTGATTTAGGTTACCAAAATACGGGAGTCGGAACAACGGATTCCGACTAGAGATTAGGGTTTTATTTTGCGGGTGATTTACCGAAACACGGGAAAAGTGGGTTGGGGTTGCCAAAATAAGGGGATTTTTTAGGGTTTACCCAAAAACGGGAGTCGGAACACCCAGTTCCGACTAGAGGTAAGGTTTCTAACAAAAAAAAAACCTCCCCTCCTGTCGGATTAGCCACTTCCGACTAGGAGTTTTTTTATTTTTTATTTTTTTGCCGAATTCTTAAGTTTTTTATTTTGAGTTTTAAAAACTAAACGTTTTAAATTCTAGGGCTAAATTCTATCCATTCCAAATTTAAAAGTTTTTTTAGATTCCTGACATATTTTTTAAAATGAAAACTTAGCATTTTGATTTTTTGAGTAACAAAACATTTGATTGCTTTATATTGTTTTTTAATCCATTTGTATTGTGAATTTTGTTTTAATTGCAAATTTTGTAATTTTAAGTGCAATTTTGATATAATCCATTCGTCAAATGAGATACAAATTTGATTTTGTTTTAAGTGCAATTTTTGTAATTTTAATGGAAGTAAACAAAACAAATGTAGTTTTCAATTTTTACTACATCTAACGTAGCGTGCTCGGCCCTGCTCCGTCCCCACCGCCAGTGTTCCAAGGCCCCGTTGTGTCTCCATAGTAAAACGACGAATTCAGAAATGACTCAACACAATCACCCGCTTGTGTGGAGCACTGATAAGAATCATAATATGGCGGTGGTTGATCAAATGAGACACCTTGATGCGTTGAGAATTGAGGGGGTGGTTGATCAAATGAGACACCCTGTGTTGAGAATTGAGGGGGCGATTGTGAGTCCTCACCCCCCACCTTCATGTTCATCTGCATCATCCTCTTCGTCACTTCCACCTTCATCTTCATCTTCATAATGGAATATGCCCCGGTGGAGCATCTCTTCATCACCTACGTCCAGGGCCATCCGCCGTAGTCGTTTTTGACGGTCCTCATAACTCGCGCGGTCGGCTAAGAGCTGATACACCTCGTGAACGCCTTGCTTCTGCATAAAAATGTAACACGTGTAAATAATATGACACGATATATGTTAATGAATATGGTATGTATTCAAAAACTTACCACAATAACCTAATCGTGTGCTGTCGGGGTGTAGCCTGTCGTGGGCACATTGTGAGAAGGGTTCTGGACACGTGTTATACCATGCTTCTTGTACCATTTTGGGTACCTATTAGTTGCTTCGAGGGACATATGTCGATCATAATCAAGAAAGTATATATTATGTTGTATGGCCGCCCACATCGCTAAGGCACCGGTTACTATGCTGGAACGATTGCCGCGATTATCAGTACCCGTCAAAGGAGCATTCGGAGTATCTTGCCTTATATGGAACTGCCGAAGAAATTGATCGGGGTAATGCATTTCGGCCATATTGCAAAATATGGGCATGACCCTAGCCGACCAAAGCGGAGCGTCATTAAGGATGAGAGGTGGGAGTGTCTCAGACGCGTAGGGAGTGAAATCAAAATGTAAAAAGTTTAATTTGCAATTTAAGAACTATAAAACAATGTGTATTGAAAATTGAATAGTACGGTTGAAGTAAAAATTTCAAGTACTATCTGACTCTCACTCATGCGGTCTAGGTCATCCCGGCCCGGTACAAGCATATGCAGTGTCTTGGGGATCCCTTATATGACTTGGGGATGATCCACCTACATTTATTGATTACCGATATGAAGTTAAAAAATGTAACGTCATATAAAGCATTCTCAATTATTAAGATGTAATTGCCAACATACTTGCACCCATATGGAAGATGGTCATGTTGAATGACCTGAAGTACTGAGGGACGGACCATCGAAATCCTCCACCAAGCCCAAATCTGTAACAAGTGCATACAACCGCCAACTTGTTTGGTTTCCCACTTGGCGTCGTTGCACAAGTTATGGTAGAGGTACCCGAGAACCGCTGATCCCCAACTCCATCGACGGGCTAAAGCCAAGTCACCCTGCAAGACCTCCAAAAAATTCAATCGTATTTTTGTCCCACTCGTGTCAGGGAACAAAAACCCTCCAAGCAATTGCCATATTAGGGTCCTGGTGTGTTCGGTGACCTCTTCGCCTGAACTGTCAGGTAGGATTGGGTGACGGGTAACAACACTCATGGTGAAATCACTCGTGCGCATATCAGTCTCTACTCTCTAGAGGAGTGAAACCACACGACTGCGTGCACAGGTCGATCCACCGAGCCTTACCCTTCCTGGTTGGACCACTGAGGGGCATACCCCGAACGGGCAAACCAAGGATCATCGCCACATCTTGTAGACTAATGCCAACCTCACCAAATGGAAGATTGAAAGTATGTGTCTCCGGCCTCCATCTCTCCACCAAAGCGCATATTAAACTATGATCCACCTTCATACGGGCAATGTGCTCTACCCCCAAGAACCCAACATATGCTAACATATCTACCACTCTTTCATCTCGCTCTTCATCTCCGAATGCAGCTGAAGGGCAACTGACGCATTTCAAGCACGAGTCTTTGGAATTTGGTTCATACCATACACGGTCTGCACGCAGTGGCAACGTGAGTAATGAACGGTTAACAGGCCCTGGGCGCGGAATGTTTTGGTCCATTTGAAATTCCTAAAATAAGTAGTTATAAATTACTAATTTTGAAATTGAACTCTAAATCTAAATTGAACACAATTTATAAATTCATAGGTTTTGAACTCAAATTCTAAATGTAACACAATTTTTAAACTTGCAGATTTTTATAGCTAAGTTCAACTCTAAATTCACAATCCAAAATTGAAATCTTAAAAGTTACCAAAATAACTAGTAATTTTGAAATTAATGAGTAAAAGTCCAATTATCATAGTAATTTTTACTAGTAATTTCAACTATTATAAATAATAAAAAGTTAAAATTAAAGAGTAAAAGTCCAAATTCACAATCTAAATTAAAAATTTACAAATTACAAAATTAACTACTTCTACACTCCTAAAACTGAAATTTAAGGCAAATTCTAAATGTAACACACTTTCTAAGTTTCAAGTATTTTATAGCTAAATTTTACTTTAAAAGTCCAATTTCACAATCTAAATTAAAAATTTACAAATTACAAAATTAACTACTTTTACACTCCTAAAACCGAAATTCAAGGCAAATTCTAAGTGTAACACACTTTCTAAGTTTCAAGTATTTTATAAATAAATTTTACTCTAAAAGTCCAATTTGACAATCTAAATTAAAAATTTACAAATTACTAAATTAACTACTTCTACACTCCTAAAACCGAAAATTAACTAACCTGGAAATTTGGCTGATTCCAAAGGTTTGATTTGGTAGTGAGTACTCTTGCTTGGGATTGATAAAATTGAGATTGAGTAATGATGTAGAAATGAGTGTTGGGATAAAATTTAGAATTTATTTATTAAAAAAAATAGAGTTGGGAGTTGCGTATATTAGTACAAGCACGGGATTAAAGCTGGTCAAGGAGATGCCTCCCAGTCGGATTTGGCAATTCCGACTGGAGGAGGGTCGTTAGATTGTGATCCGCACGCTTCTTCGAACGATTAGGATAGGATAGAATGTGTTTCTTTAGTGGAGTTAGGCAGGAGTATTCAATTGTAGATCCGACACATTATTGAATTATTTTACAGATATGGTTGGCGACAATATTGATTGATTAAATTATATGTGATAAAATTTATCTGATTATATTTATCTATTAAATTTGATCTTATTGAAATTATCTTATTAAATTTTATCTGATTAATTTCATCTGATTGTATTTATCTGATTATATTTTATCTGCTAAGTTTTTCTCATTAAATTTATCTGATGGAATTTATGTGAAGAAAAACTTCAGATACAATGAAAAAGAGAACAAATATTTCATTAGTAATTGGATGCAAAACAAAAATCCAACAAGGTATACATTACAATATTACTCATTTCCTCTCCTTGTAGCACGCAAATCCATTTCATTAGTATATCGAGTTCTCTGTGGCCTACCGGCTCGAGCCGATCTATTGTTTGTGGGCGGGAGAAGTGTATGCGGTGTTTCTGTCATGACATTGAGGTAATTATTAATAGGCATAATATCGGAAGCGTACGTCCGAATGTAAAGGCCACATTCGATAAAGCGTCCATTACTTAATAGAGGAGAATGTAAATTTTTAATTTAGATTGTCAAATTGGACTTTTAGAGTAAAATTTAGCTATAAAATACTTGAAACTTAGAAAGTGTGTTACATTTAGAATTTGCCTTGAATTTCGGTTTTAGGAGTGTAGAAGTAGTTAATTTTGTAATTTGTAAATTTTTAATTTAGATTGTGAAATTGGACTTTTACTCTTTAATTTTAACTTTTTATTATTTATAATAGTTGAAATTACTATAAAAATTACTAGTAAAAATTACTATGATAATTGGACTTTTACTCATTAATTTCGAAATTACTAGTTATTTTGGTAACTTTTAAGATTTTAATTTTAGATTGTGAATTTAGAGTTGAACTTAGCTATAAAAATCTACAAATTTAAAATTTGTGTTACATTTAGAATTTGAGTTCAAAACCTATGAATTTATAAATTGTGTTCAATTTAGATCTAGAGTTCAATTTCGAAATTAGTAATTTATAACTACTTATTTTCGGAATTTCAAATTGACCAAAACATTCCGCGCGTGCCCACCGTTCACTACTCACGTTGCCACTGTGTGCCCATCGTGCAGACCGTGTATGGTATGAACCAAATTCCAAAGACTCGTGCTTGAAATGCGTCAGTTGCCCTTCAGCTGCATTCGAAGATGAAGAGCGAGATGAAAGAGTGATAGATATGTTAGCATATGTTGGGTTCTTGGGGGTAGAGCACATTGCCCGTATGAAGGTGGATCATAGTTTAAGGGGGTGTTTGGATCCGATTCTTAAAACTGCTTCTGCTCCTTCAGGGAGCAGAAGCAGAAGTTGGAGTGTTTGGATAAAAGTGCAAAAGTGATTCTGGTGCTCTAATTTACTCCTAGAATCAGTTTTTTTAGAAGCTGGGGGAGACCAGCTTCTGAAAACTGATTCTGATTCTGCTTTAAAAAAGAAGCAGAAGCAGAATCAGCTCCAAACACCCCCTAATATGCGCTTTGGTGGAGAGATGGAGGCCGAAGACACATACTTTCCATCTTCCATTCGGTGAGGTCGGCATTAGTCTACAAGATGTGGCGATGATCCTTGGTTTGCCCATTCGGGGTATGCCCCTCAGTGGTCCAACCATAAAAGGTAAGGCTCAGTGGATCGACCTGTGCATGCAGTCTTGTGGTTTCACTCCTCTAGAGACTGATATGCGCACGAGTGATATCACCAAGAGTGTTGTTACCCGTCACCCGATCCTACCTGACAGTACAGACGAAGTGGTCACCGAACACACCAAGACCCTAATATGTCAATTGCTTGGAGGGTTTTTGTTCCCTGACACGAGTGGGACAAGAATACGATTGTACTTTTTGGAGGTCTTGCAGGGTGACTTGGCTTTAGCCCGTCGATGGAGTTGGGGATCAGCGGTTCTCGGATACCTCTATCATAACTTGTGCAACGGCGCCAAGTGGGAAACCAAACAAGTTGGCGGTTGTATGCACTTGTTACAGATTTGGGGTTGGTCGAGGATTTCGATGGCCCGTCCCTCAGTACTTCAGGTCATTCAACATGACCATCTTCCATATGGGTGGAGGTATGTTGGCAATTACATCTTAATAATTGAGAATGCTTTATATGACGTTACATTTTTTAACTTCATATCGGTAATCAATAAATGTAGGTGGATCGTCCCCAAGTCATATAAGGGATCCCCAAGACACTGCATACGCTTGTACCGGAATGACCTAGACCGCATGAGTGAGAGTCAGATAGTACTTGAAATTTTTACTTCAACCGTACTATTCAATTTTCAATACACATTGTTTTATAGTTCTTAAATTGCAAATTAAACTTTTTACAGTTTGATTTCACTCCCTACGCGTCCGAGACACTCCCACCTCTCATCCTTAATGACGTTCCGCTTTGGTCGGCTAGGGTCATGCCCATATTTTGCAATATGGCCGAAATGCATTACCCCGATCGATTTCTGCGGCAGTTCCATATAAGGCAAGATACTCTGAATGCTCCTTTGACGGGTACTGATAATCACGGCAATCGTTCCAACATAGTAACCGGTGCCTTGGCGATGTGGGCGGCCATACAACATAATATATACTTTCTTGATTATGATCGACATATGTCCCTCGAAGCAACTAATAGGTACCGAAAATGGTACAAGAAGCATGGTATAACACGTGTCCAGAACCCTTCTCACAATGTGCCCACGACAGGCTACACCCCGACAACACACGATTAGGGTATTGTGGTAAGTTTTTGAATACATACCATATTCATTAACATATATCGTGTCATATTATTTACACGTGTTACATTTTTATGCAGAAGCAAGACGTTCACGAGATGTATCAGTTCTTAGCCGACCGCGCGAGTTATGAAGACCGTCAAAAACGACTACGGCGAATGGCCCTGGACGTAGGTGATGAAGAGATGCTCCACCGGGGCATATTCCATTATGAAGATGAAGATGAAGGTGGAAGTGACGAAGGGGATGATGCAGATGAACATGAAGGTGGGGGTGAGGACTCACAATCGCCCCCTCAATTCTCAACACAGGGTGTCTCATTTGATCAACCACCCCCTCAATTCTCAACGCATCAAGGTGTCTCATTTGATCAACCACCGCCGTATTATGATTCTTATCAGTGCTCCACACAAGCGGGTGATTGTGTTGAGTCATTTCTGAATTCGTCGTTTTACTATGGAGACACAATGGGGCCTTGGAACACAGGCGGTGGGGACGGAGCAGGGCCGAGCACGCTACGTTAGATGTAGTATTAAATTTAATATTGTATGTACTGTCTATTCATTAATAAATTACATTGAAAACTACATTTGTTTTGTTCACTTCCATTAAAATTACAAAAATTGCACTTAAAACAAAATCAAATTTGTATCTCATTTGACGAATGGATTATATCAAAATTGCACTTAACATTACAAAATTTGCAATTAAAACAAAATTCACAATACAAATGGATAAAAAAACAATACGTAGTATAAAGCAATCAAATGTTTTGTTACTCAAAAAATCAAAATGCTAAGTTTTCATTTTAAAAAATATGTCAGGAATCTAAAAAAAACTTTTAAATTTGGAATGGATAGAATTTAGCCCTAGAATTTAAAACGTTTAGTTTTGAAAACTCAAAATAAAAAACTTAAGAATTCGGCAAAAAAATAAAAGATAAAAAAACTCCTAGTCGGAAGTGGCTAATCCGACAGGAGGGAGGTTTTTTTTTGTTGGAAACCCTACCTCTAGTCGGAACTGGGTGTTCCGCCTCCCGTTTTTTGGTAAACCCTAAAAAAATCCCCGTATTTTGGCAATCCCAACCCACTTTTCCCGTGTTTCGGTAAATCACCCTAAAACAAATTCCACGTCACGCTACAACCTACACCAATCCACGATTGTCGACCACAGAATTACAATACCCAAAACGTGGATGTAAAATACAAAAAAATAATTAGGTAAAAAATAAAAACAGAAAATCCCTAGAAGCAAAGAAGAACAACTGAGGAGGATACCATGAAAGCGTAGATCAGGATCAAGAACCCAAAATGCAAAGCCCAATTCCTCTTCAGCTTATCAAAGTAGCTCTCCGGCGGTTGCTGGTAGTGTATCTCACACTCCTCCGCCGCCGCGCCGCCGCCGCCGCTTATCCGCATCTTCAGCTGCCGCAGCCGCTCCGTCGCCTCACCCAGGGTCAGCTTGTGGCACCTCCTCTGGTACTTGAACCCGTTGATGCACCGCAGGGTCTGGGCCACCGACACGTAGAAAATGAGGTGGCCCATCGAGAGAAGCCCAATCGGAACCCAGCAGTGCCTGCACTGCAGTCGGGACGACTGGGCCTGGCCCAGGACGACCAGCGCCAGGAATATGAAGAAGAGCTGGAACATTTTCCATAGCTCCTTCTTCTGGAGATCGACGGCCCGTTTCTTCTCGAGGGTCTTCTCGAAGTGGAGCTGGATGACGGTGCTTAGCGCCTGCAGGACCTCTGCTTCGCGGTGGATTAGGGTCTGATGGGCTGCGGTCGCTGCCTCGTAGTCCGCCATTAATGGATGGAGCTTCTCCGACTTTGTTTTTTGATTTTACCGGTTTCACATTTGTTCTTTTGTTGGGCCGTTGGTCATCTGAAAGTGTAATTTAATGCCATTCAATGAGGAAAGAGAAAACCTCTGGGTAAAATCTGTACGTAGTAAAACCCTAATGTCTCACTGGGGTGCTAAGAGTTTAGAGCATCTCCAATATTATAATATGCACGGTGTACATGTAACACAAGAGACAGACACACAAATATTAGCAAATAAAGTATCTTTCTCCTAATTTGATTGATTTTATACAATTTTGATAAGTTTTTTGTCAAGAAGATCGTCTATATGTTGACATTGTGTTTGACATTGCAGTGAAAAACTTATCAAAATTATACAAAATCATTCAAATAAGGAGAACGATAATTTATTTGCTAATATTTATGTGGCTATCTCTCATGCCACATATGCATCGTGCATATTGTAGCATTGAAGATGCTCTTAGGACATTTTTAATTCAGAATTGCTTCTTATATACAAGTTGTACATAACGTAGGATGTTTTTACTTGGACTGTTATATGTCCTAGACCATACCAGAATAGACCAGACCAAATCAAACTTGGATAGTTATAAAAATACAAAGAAACCAGACATTACCAGATCAGTTCTGAACAGATTAGTTCAGACCAGACCAGATCAGACCAACAAATTACAGTCCAAGTAAAAGCTTTCTTATACAAAATATTACTAACAGACAATTGGTGTGCGTGACGTGTGAGAGTTTTCTGTGAGACGGTGAGCACACATTAATTTTCGTGCCAAAAATACACTTACAAATATTGAATCTGGCATGCAAATCTATATTTGTGTGTAGTGTTGTGTATACATATAATAATTGTCTGTGTATAAACAATTATTTTATGTGACCAAACAAGAAATAGTTGTGAGGTTCATAGACAATAGTTGTCTGTTAGATCGTTTAATTGTTCGTGTTCACATAAATGATTTATGTGTGCTCAATTTACATGTAATTTGAAAAAAAAATGAAAAGATCATAAAAATAAATGGGAATAAATAAATAAACTGATTTTGTGTAAGTAATGGAAAAAATGGATAAAAATAGAGAAGAGGGGGATGGAGAATGGAAGAGGAGGATGAAGAAGAAAAGAAGTTAAGAAGATGATCCAATCTTCTTATGGATATTCGAATGGGCTCGATAGAGAGGGAAAAGATAAGGGGAGGGGAGAGAAAAATGGGAGAGTGTGCATATTAAATGTATGAGTATGAGTATCTATCCGGATTGATCTAGCGGTGTCAATCAAGCAAGTGGACAATCATGGATAGGTGAGAGAGAGGGGAGAGAAAAAAGGGCACGACTGATGTGGTTAATAGAGGGAGAGACATAAAATGGATGAGGGTTAAAGGTGTTCTTCACAATAAAATTTTGTCAAAATGTATTTTAGGATATCTCCTTATCTCCTTATATATATAAAGTGTCTAACTTACAGTGTCAAAGATTTTTATTCCAGTTTTCCGTCCTAAAAAAAAATACCGATCTGGTTTCTGTGTCACTTAACCGGCCTCCTTCTTTTATCAGTTCATCACTATTCTCCGTCTGTTCACTTCGTAGCAGTTCTACCTCTCCACCTCCACCGTTTCGAATCATTGCCCGTGCATGATCCTCTTTGATCTGTGTTGAGTATGGGAAGAATGATGAGCATGTACTTTTGCATTGGCCACCCCCTCCCAGGGCGCTATGTGTCTCTTTACTGTGTTGTTTGTTGTGTGCTGAATAGGTAAGTTTCGTATCTCCATCCTCTCCTTTTACGTTTTTTGGAGCATCTTTGACTTTTTGAGTGCCAATTCCGCCAAGAAAAATACATCTTTGGGCGAATTTAAAGGAAAAAATTGAATAAAATGTTCTCTACAAGATTTAGGATTTTTATTCATAACTTGGTGTAGTTCGCCTCTTTCTCCATCCCAGAGGGAAATTATTTCAAAATGGCCATATGAAAAAAACCTCTCTCCCTGATTAAAGAAAACATTTTGGAGGTTTGCCAAATGTTGACTTTGTTTTCTTGCCGGTTTGAACTAGAACTAAAAAGTATCTCCGCGGTTTTTAAAAAGTATCAAAACTAATTTGGCAAAACTAAGGCTTAATTCCCCATAATTATAATGTATGGATGTTTAGATAGCAGTGTTGGCAAGTAATTTCTTTTCCGTATGGTTTAGAGAAATTGGGCAAACATTAATAACAATATTTTATACTTTTTAGTTCATTGTCATTTTTGGAATTTGTTTTATATTTTTACAAAAATAGTTTGGTTGTGATTGCCTATTGTGAAGCTTGATAGCCGCTTTCGCAGCGTTGTAGTAAAACGGAGTCTAACCTTTCGGTTTTTCCCCGAGTATCGTGTCTCTCGAGGAATGGCGGAGGGGCTTCTTGATTTTAAGTCCAGTCACAGGTTATCGCAAATTATTGGAAGCTTTCCAAATTAAAACTTTTGATTGATTTTCTAAACTACTTTTTGGAAAAGGAAGTAAATTAAATTGTGCAAATACTAATGATGGCTCAAAAATAAACTAAAGAAAAAAAAAATAATATTAAACTGTAAAATGATTGAAGCAAATAAGGGCAATGAACTGAGTAATTAGAAATGGATATATTCTTGGACCTAGTAATTAGGGAAATTAAAACTAAAATTGGACTAATAATTTCTTTTCTCATAGACAAGAATAGAAACTATTTTCATTAATTTATCCTATTTCTAGGTGTCATTAATGTGTTCAAAATGGTTGGCTTGAATTAAATTCTAATCTCATAGACAAGGTAGAAATAATTCTCCAATATTTTAATTAATAAAAATAGCCAAATTTATTAACTAGTTAAACTCATTATTTAAGCAATTGAATTTATCTCTCATAGACAAGATGTAAATCCCTTTCATTAAATTATCCTATTTCTAGGCCTTATTAATGTGCTTGAATATGGTTGGCTTAAATTATTTTCTAATCTCATAGACAAGTTAGAAATAATTTTCCAAAAAATTAATTAATGAAAATGGCTAACAATTATTAATTACTATTTCATCATTTCAAACAACTAGTCCAAATTATTAATTTTAATCCCTAATTTTAGGTCAAAAAGTCAATCCATATTCCTTTAGTCAATTCATGCCTAAAACAAATTTAGCTAATAAACACCATTTTTTGATTTAACAATACAATGAATAAATTCAACATTAACAAGGAATCAAGCATGTATAATAGTGAAAATTAAAGAAAAATAAGATTCTGCCAAAATAAACTTGTAGAACTAAAATATCACCTTCTGGAATTTTTCCCGAATTTTATAACCTAAAATCCAATTTTAACAACTACTTGATAATTTTCCCAATATTAACTAGAGATTACAAAAAAACAAATACAAATAGTCTAAATTCGTTCTAAATTTTATATTGACTACTGGGAGTGATATTACTGTGAATTAAACTGGAATTAGGACAGAAACTATTTGTTTTTCCTTTTTTGAGTATTTAATTTAATTTAAGCAATAATAACAACTAAATGCCGGAATTAATTAAAAATTACTTCTAATTCGTAAAAATTAACTTTGTTTTGATAAATAACTACCTTGAGGCTAGTAAACAACTATATAATTAATTGGAATGGATTCAACATCGATAATTACTTTTTTCAATTTTTGGAAGAAAATGCAAATTACTTGATAAATATTCTGGAAATTTTTGAAGAACAGATAAAACAAACAAAGCACAAATTCAGATTTTACACGTTGAGAGGATGAAAATGCATATATAGAACTTACAAATTGGAGCTAAAATGAGAAAGATATGAAATATTGAAGATGAAGGTGCAACAATGGTGAAAATCCGAGCTTTGAGGAGGAAGAAGATGCCATTTTTGATCTGAATTGGGCTTGAGATGGTGTGTTTTGAGTTGGGGATGGAAGAGGGATTTTATAGCCGGAGTTTTGTGGAAGGCGGCCAGAAGGGCGGCCGCCCTCCGGCCATGGCCTGCAGCCTTCGGTCACTTCTCCGACAAAGCTTCGTGCACGGGTTGAATCTGCCGCAGGCGTCCACGGTAGGCGGCCGCCCTTTTGGCCGCCTCCCGTCTTGTCTCAGCTACCGGAAGCTCACAAATCACATCCCGCCGCAGGCGGCCACAGAGGGCGGCCGCCCTCCGTCCCCCGTCGGCAGCCTTCCATTATTTTGTCGCCATGCAAAGTGTTGTGTGCTGAAACTGTGAAAAACTCGTAGGCGCCCAAAAAGGCGGCCGCCTGATCGACTGCCTTTTGTCAAATGGAAAAGTTGTCTTCACCAAAGTTGTAGCTCTCTTTCTTGTCTAACTACTGGAATTTGAATCACATTCATTGGATTTGTAGTTTATGAGATATGGTCAAAACGGTGACCACGTGTCATTTTCCATCGCAACTGCAAATGTCTGACTTCTTTGACCAATATGTCCATTCTACGGTGGTTATTTGGCTCTGTGTTCTTCATAAGAGTTGTAGATCAGGAAGATATCAATGTAATGAAACTCGTATCACGAACGTTGGACAATTATGCGCAAAGTTATGATCACAATACGAACATGTGTCTCTATGCATCGTCCATTTTCATCAAAAGTAGCCATATATGTGACTCCTTCTTGGTTATGAACTTCCTTGGATGATTTCTTCATCACTTGGACTCTTTTCATTGAACAATTGGTCAATATATCTTGTACACTTCCGTAGGAATTCATTTGTTGGCAAAAAGTGCCACTTTCTTCACGCAATTGACCCGAAATTTCGCAAAAGTTGTTATGAATGTGATTTTTACCTGATTTCATGAAACTTGAACCACAATATCTAAAACATGCCTTTTATTCTATTTTCAATCAAAAATCGCTTAATTTTGATAAGAAAAATAAGTACAAAAATGGACTTATCAAAGCCAAAAACAAAATACAATGCCTTAATTTAGGTGTGAATGAAAGGTAGATTTTTTGTGGAAAAATTGTTTTTGTGGGGTGTAACCTTATAAGATATTATTAACAAAAAGATAAATAGATTGTTTTTGCTGGAAAAACTGTTTTTGTGGGTATATAACCTTATAGGATATGATTAACAAAAAAGATAAATAAATTATTATTATTTGTTGAAAAGCTGAGTTTTGTGAGGTATAATCTTATAAGATATGATTAACAAGAAGATCAATGGATTGTTTTTTTATGGGCCGTTTAGATGGTTGTTTTGTTCTATTTTGCTGACGCATCACATTTAAAGATTATGTGGTTTGTTGAACTATTGTCCTTTCATTGTGTGGGGAGACTACTTAAAAGGTTATCGGTCATTACAAATCATGTATGTTCTCATTTGGATTTGAATGAGTAGAAATGGTGGCTTTGGCTAATTTGCATATCATATCATGTATGTTCTCATTTGGATTTGAATGAGTAGAAATGGTGGCTTTGGCTAATTTGCATATCATAATTTATATTAGCCAGTTGCTCGTTTCATGTTTTCATGTCATTAGCCGTTGATAGCCGTTATATTTACTTGTGTTTAACATAAGTATTTATAAGTATTTGTTGAAGAAAAGAAGAGAAATCGGGCAAATACCTCCAGAATGAGAGCTAGAGCATAAAACATTGCGATGAACGACTTTTTTGACCAAGAGAATGACGTTCTGCCCATAATTTGAGTATAACTTATTCTATAGAACTCGAAATCACTCGATTCGAGTTTCATGTGAATGCTAACTCAATAAGGTACAAATGTTATGAAGACGTCATGGCCAAAATATGAAAGGAGAAAGACTCAATCAATCAACAAAGTCAGATGTTGCTGGTGGGATTTCAGGATGCATACCTCTCAGTGTTTTACCCATATCTTTTGATTGACTGAATAAAATCACGTCATTCAAGTTTTGGTGGATAGAAGACTTCATTATCTACAACTTTGGTAAGGAATCATGTCCAAATTCGTAGCGGAACATCCCCAAAATCCCAGGACAAAACTGGCGCCGGAATTTCACCAAACCAGCGCCGGTTGCATTTAATCTGCCATTTTCCCGGTCAGCCGAAGTATAACCGGCGCCGGTTATGGTGTTTTTCAGTATTATTCCATCCCCAAAGTAAAACCGGCGCCGGTCAAGCCTAAAACCGGCGCCAGTTAAGCCCGAATCTGCATAAAACACAAAGACGTGCAGCCATATTTTGATGGGAAATCTCCACTTTCCTTATGATCTGATCAAATACATCTTCCATGCCTGATTGTTGGGCTTGAATAGACTAAAAGATGCCAATCTTTAGCCTATATAAAGCCCTCAATTCATAAAACAAGATGGTTTGGTGAAATTCCGGCGCCAGTTTTGATCTGGTCTAGTCTGGGACCAAAAATTGTCCAAGTCTAGTCTCGTCTGATCTGGTCTAGTCTGGGACCAAAAATAGTCCAAGTAAAAACATCCTAAAAATAGAACTCTTTTGGAGACAAATAGTGCTAAACAAGAAAACATACATGAAGATAAGAAATGGAAGTTAACTTACCAAGTAAAAATACAGCAAAGTTAATCAAGAATTTGTGAAAATAACATCCCTATTTGGCTGATATTGTTAGATGGTCACCCTTTAAAATATACTTGAATATGCCTCCACAAGAGTTCATGTTAACAGGTCCCATTATTTCTTCTGATACATGCACATATTTATGAAGAAGAAAGACAAAAAGACTTTAACCACATACTCCCTCCGTCCTGAATTATAGGATACTTTTCGGTTTACGATATTTGACCGACAATAAAGCAAACAGATCCCTATCTGCACTCAAATTTTTTTTAGGAAAAAAATTACATATTCAGAAACTACATTAAACCCGCTACAAAACCTGCAATTTTTTTTTTCAAATTTCATAAAATTTTGATATATAAAGTAAGAGATTAAGAGTGATTTGTGTTGACCAAGTGAATAGTAAAGATATCTTATAAAATGAGACAGAGGGAGTATTTATTACTCTAAATGGGAGTGGCAATTTTTTAGAGCACAAAATAAGGAAAGTTGGCAAAATTTTATGGGAGGAGGAAGTGTGTATAAATTAATATCTTTTGTCTCGGGTTGTTTGCTCATTGGCAGGTGGAGCATTTTAACCACGATGAATGTGGCACGCTATGATTTTGCGTGTGCCGAGGTGAATGGAAAGGTGTATGCAGTTGGAGGTTACGGTGTGGATGGAGAATCCCTTTGTTGTGCTGAGATGTATGACCCGGACACTGAAAAATGGACGATGATCGAGTCTCTTCGTCGCCCAAGGTGGGGCTGCTTCGCCTATGGCTTCAATGGGAAGCTTTACGTCATGGGCGGGCGTTCAAGCTTCACTATAGGGAACTCTAGGTTTGTTGACGTGTACAATCCGGAGAGGCACACATGGTGTAGTGAGTTGAAAAACGATTGTGTCATGGTCACTGCTCATGCTGTGCTGGGTAAGAAGCTGTTTTGCATTGAGTGGAAGAACCAGCGTAAGCTAGCCATATTCAACCCGGGTGACAGTTCATGGAAGATGGTCACCGTCCCCGTGACTGGGAGTTCAACCGTTGGGTTTCGATTTGGAGTTTTGGACGAGAAGCTTTTGCTGTTTTCTGGCGTGCAGGAGGATGAAGGTTCTGCCACTACACTTTTATATGATCCGAATGCGGCTCCGGGTTCGGAGTGGAAGACCTGTGAAATAAAGCCGTCAGGTACTTGTTTGTGTAGTGTCACTATCAAAGCTTAGGATGCCAATTTTTTTTCCCGACTACCTATTATTTTCAATGAATGCACTGAAGTTGGATTGCTACATATATTTTGGCGTTTGTTTTGCTTCCATGAATTAGTTTGTTTTGGGGGTGTTTGTTACAGGAGGTGTTTCCATTTACCCACCCATTTTCTGTCTTTATTCTTGAAAAATGCCAGTGCGTTTGAAGAAGAAAAAGTATGTATACGTATTAAAGGATGGGTATGCCTGGTTTTTGTATGCTGAAAAAAGTTGTGCATGATCAAATCATACTTCACCAGTATGAAGCTTCCTTTTCAAGTTCTAAAACACTATGACTCTGCAGCTTATTCGGTTATTCCATTTGAGACATTTTTATCTTTCTGGAAAGATATATTGAATTAAAAGTCTGATAGAGATTACATTTATCAAATATTGAATAATAAGTACGTGTCATAATGAAATTCAAAAACCATATTCCATATAGATGGAAATGTTTGATTTGATCATATAAATTGAAGTTCTAAAAATCTTATGGACATCTATCAAATTTTAAGAGGATGAGTACTTGTTATACCAAATTGTCAGGATTTTACCATTGAGCCAAAAGCTATATGTATTATGTAGTAATGAGGTGCAATTTTATTTCGTTATACTTATGTAGCGGTCAAGTACCACATTGTGATTGTATCGGCAAACTGATCGAATTGTTGGTCCGCATTCCTGCGGACCAACAACCCCAGCACTTGCGAGCCTTCAACTGCTCAACATGTTGGGATTGGGGTCAAACCCGTGCATGCTCTGATACCAGTTGTCAGGATCAAACACTTACCATTACACTAAAAACTAAAGCTAGTAGCGAAGGCGTAACTTTGTTTCCTTAAACTTGTGTAGCCGTCAAGCAGAATGTTTCGATTGCACTGGTAAAGTAGAAGAATAGATGGCTTGCAATCCCATGGTCCAACACAAAATTCAAAAGCAAAAATGTGGCAACTCAATACAAGTGAAATGTTGGAATTGATTATATGTACTACATAGTATATTTTATTGTGCTTGTGCCCATATACCTCATTAAAAAGTTAAATAGAAGTCCTAAATTCTTACAAAAACTAGATTTATCAAATACTTCCTCTGTCACACAAAACTTGACCAAAGTTGACTTGCATGTAGATTAATAAAGTAAAAATTGTGTGGTTGAAATTTGTGCAGAAGAGAGATAAATAATTTCAGCCACATATTCCTTACTTTAAAGAGAAATGACAAAGTTTTTTGGACGGTCAAAAAAGGAAATTTGGCCAAGTTTTATGGGACGGAGGGAGTATAAAATGATGTGCAGTATGCTTTAGGAAACAAATGATGTGCAATATTGTACTGTAATTAAAAATAAGATTCCACCTAAATATTACTCCGTATTAAATTGAAGTCAATTTTAAAAAACGTGACTACTTTCAAATGTTAATAAAAATGTGATTAACAAGCTCATATATTTGAGAAAACATGATGTCATCACGATTGTTTTTCATGTCAATACGAGTTATAAGTACCAAATTTTCATGTCACTTGTGGATATCAAAACTACTTATATCTTTTGAATAATATTATGTTGCCACTTGCCATGTTTCCAATTCATGTAAATGGTGCATATTATATTTGTATTAATGCTAGAATTGTTTAAAGTCTATTACTTGTGCAATAAGTTCTTTTTAAAAAGTCAGAACTAAGTAAATTGTATAATTTTAATGTCATTCAAACGTTAATACAGAGTATTATTTTAGATTCACTTCACATTATTTAAAAACTGGTTAATTAATATGTTCAATATTTAATATTGTTTGATGTTTTATAAAATGAAGTACTAACTATTCAATAAAGATAAATTAAAGTTTACAAAACTAGGATTTTTTGTCAAATAAGTATCCTAAATTTTAAACTAATGGAATGTTCTATTATTGATTTATCCATGTAAAGAAAATATATTTTAGGTTTTTCTCCCTTTACATCTCATATTAAATACTACACCCGTTTTCTTTTTGTTGGAACATTGATGATTTTAATTGACTAAATCTTATTCATTAATATATTATAAATTAATTTTTTGACTAAATCTTATTTATCAATATATTATAAATTAAATTTTTATCATTGCTACTTGTAAGTTACTACATCAGAACAGAGTTTCTCTCTCTAGGGTTGCCGCGTGCAACTCCTAGTTTTTCGTCCGCCTTCGAGTCTATCGAAAGGCGAGTTGGTTGGTTGGTTTGGGCGGTGGTTGGAGTCAGGGTTGTAGGCGTTCGGATTAGTGGAGATAGAGGTGGTTTGGGTTATTTAGTCAGGTTCTCGGTAGCAAGGGAAGCGACGAGTTGGGCGATCGGGCAAGGAGGTTGACTCAGGTTTCGATAGCATAGTTTTCCGAGGTGGCTTGCAGCAGCGTGCGATGGCAGAGGTTGGCGAGGGGTATGGACAATGTTGTTGATTAGTATAAACAAATGGCGATCGGGGCTGATGAGGAGGAGCTGAATCTTGATGAGGTTGAGGTGGAGGGAGTTCCAGTGGAGGTGGCTGCGACGGGTTTTCCGGTGATCGGCCAGGTGCTGACGGACCGAAAGGTCAAATTTTTAGACCTTAAGGAGACGATGCTTTCACTCTGGAGGCCGGGGAAGGGTATGTCGGTAAAAGAAATTGGTGAAAAGAGGTATCCATTTACTTTTAATCATCGTTTTGATATGTTATGTGTGCTTGAAGGAGGTCATTGGCAGTTTGAGCGTAGTCTGTTAATGTTAAAAGAAATTATGCTTCATGATATTCACACAAAATTATCTTAAATGAGACTGAGTTTTGGGTTCATATCCATAATGTTCCCTATAGTCTTGTTAATTTGGGCACTTCCAGACGCGTGGGAAATATCATAGGGGAATTTATTAAATATGATAATAACCAGAAGAGTGATAGACTGGAGCCATATATGTGGGTTAGGGTTCTTATGAAGATGGATAAATCGCTGAAGAAGGGGACAAATCTGAAAAAAGATGGTAAAAGTTTTTGGGTAGATTTTAAATGTGAACGGCTACCCAACTTTTGCTTCATTTGTGGATTTATCGTACACTCGGATAATTTCTGTCCCTTAAAATATGAGGAAGACTTAGTTTTAGAAAAAAGTTTGGAATCCATCTTAGAGCAGGAAGCGGGGTAAAGACTAACCCGACAGGAGGTAATAAATGGCTCTTGGAGGGTTCATCGAGCTCTGGCAGAACGGGGGAGTATACAGGAGCTTTCAAATCAGAAGGAAAAATTGTTGAAGGAGAAAGAGTCTATGACTGAATCAGCCCAAAGTTTTACCAAAGGAAGAGGGGATGAGTCAAAAGAAGAGGTTTCTAAGAGAAGGAAGATCTGGGAGACTCAGAGAGAGAAGGAGCAAGAGGAGAACACTATGGCTTTGGATGTGACAAAAAATGGGGAGGAGGCGGGCTTTGCTCTTTAAGCCCGCCGAAGCCGCTGACAGAAGAGTGGAGGTCGCATGTCCGAGGGATTGTTCGAGTTTTCTAGCTGCAACGGAAGTGTTTTTTCTTTTGTTTTATTTGTTGTTTCAGTGATTGGTATGTCTGTTTTGGTGTTTGTTTTTTCTATTATGTTCCTGTTTGTAAGACGTTGTTTTTTGATGTGGGGGATGAGAGGAATATGGTGACCGTTTATGGCTTTAGGTTTCCCATTTATGGATCATCGAATTATATTGCTTCTTGGTAGGTTATTAATTTCGAGTCTGGTTCGCGGGATAACGGTTGTCAAATTTCTTTTTGTCATTTGACCCATACTCTGAATTATCTGTTATCGATCTAAGCCGAATTCTTCCAAAAAATATATATTATAAATTAATTTTTTTTAAAAATATTGTTAAATTTTTCTCGTTTAAAAGTTTTGATTTTTTTGAAATATTTTTACTAATAAGGAATGAAAGATATTAATAGTCAAACTTGTATGTTGACAATCGTTAAAAGTTGAGCATTGCAATTAAAAAAGAATGATGAAAGTACTCTTACGCCAGCCTATAAACTAATTTTGAAAACAGAATGTTAAGAGGACAAACATTTACACACCTAATTAAAGTGCAAAAATTTTATGAAATTATTACATACTCCGTATATAACAGAAAAATTTGAAGTCCAAAAGAAAGAGCGGTGTCCCCTGAGAGAGTTCTAATGAGAAGTGAGAACCCCTCTTAGAATGAGAATCCTTTTTAAAATGAGAATTTGTAATCTTCACCATTCAATTTTACAATCAACGACTGATAATTACTAGGTGACATTTTTGTAATGGTTCAGAAGTAATTGCAAAAAATCTCATTTGAATTTAGGTAATTATGAATGAGACCCCATGCGAATCTTAACCGATGATTGCAATAAATGAAAGGTTGAGATAAAAGTTTTTAAGGCAAGTTCTTATTTTTAAGATTTTTTATTTTAGGAAGAGTTTTCACTACAACTCTTTAAAATGAGATAATTACACTATAGTTAAACCTTTCAAAACTTAAAATCAAGTCATTATCATACTACTTCAATAACTTTTTGTGGTTGAGTATGCCAAAATCATCCATGGAAAGTCGGCCAATAATATGCTTGCTGGAAATGTCCCTAATTTGAATTAGAATAGGGGCAATTATCATAATAACATTTGTTGCTTAAAAAGAGTAGCAACTCACAAGCAGAAACGTCGAATCAAGGGTTTATATCCAGGGAACAAAAACGGAAGAAAGTTATATACAGGGACTAAGCCGAAAGATCACTTTTTTGGCTGTAGAATTGTACGATCCAGATCTGAGGAGCCTCTGTTTTTTCAGCATTGGCCGCCAATAGCGAATCTTGCTCGTTTTCGGGAGTCCTGTCCACGAAGCCTGCTTTCTGGGATTTTTTTTTTTGTATCTGACCAAACGTTTCCTTGAGTTTGGTAAGCTCATTTCCTTCACCAAAAGGTCAAACTTCTACCTGGTTCGGTTTTACTATTCATTACTCCTCTCTCCAAATTTGAGTTTTGTGGATTTATCCCGTGGCAGTGTTAGCTTGATCTTTAATCTGTGTTGAAGAAGATTGCCATGTCTGGAACATTGGGTCGTAAAATGGCCTCTACGGGCATTTCTTCTCTGGTATACTCTTGAATCTTTTTAGGTTATGCGTCGCAACTAGTTTTGGTTTTGTTATACTTATGCACGAGCTGTGTCATCTTTCAATTTCCTATTATTTTCAATTTTAGATTGCAAATCGGCTTTTGGTGAGAAGCAGGCAATTTGCATCCCGAAGCTTCTCTTCAACTGCTAAAGAGGTTTTTTTTCTGGTTCCTTCCCGTTTTTTTTATGTTGCATTCTTTGCGTATCATTCATATTGGTTACATTACAGATGACAGTGCGTGATGCCTTGAATTCAGCACTTGATGAAGAAATGTCGGCAGATCCTAAGGTCTTTTTAATGGGCGAAGAGGTAATGATCATACTTTTTGTTTTCAATTCAGTTTTCTTTTCTGTATAGACGCGTAGTTAGACATGTGCAAGTTGTGTACCTTTTTAAAATGGGTTGTCGTGTATTCATTATTGGTCTATGTTGGAACAGGTTGGTGAGTACCAGGGAGCATACAAGGTCTGAGATTTCTCTTTTTGGTTCACCCATTATCCTATTACTCCTATTGGTCCTATATAGTCATTAGCTTTTTCTTCTTTATGATAACTTTAACTGTTTTCACTGAAGATTTCAAAAGGACTTTTGGACAAGTATGGCCCAGAGAGAGTTATTGATACACCTATCACTGAGGTTACTCCTCATGCACCTACAAATTACCTGTGTTAATGTTTATTGTATAATAATAACATGATAAGATTTTAAAACATTTTATATGCATGTGTAGGCTGGATTTACTGGGATTGGAGTGGGTGCTGCTTACTATGGGCTGAAGCCTATTGTAGAATTCATGACATTTAACTTTTCAATGCAGGTTTGATTGTTATTTTCACTCTTAGAGAATCTTCAAACGCTCATTAATACATGTCAAATTATCTATATGCATGAGTCAATTCAACTCTACTCCTAGGGGTAGAGGTAAGATCTATGTGCATCTCACCACGGGATCCTACTTCTGGCTGGGACAGTTTTGGAGTGCTAGAATATGGTAAGCTTTGGAGTTTTCCTGGAGATTTGTGGCCATTAGACCCAATATAGGGGTTGTTTTGCAACCTTGCTGATCTCCAATAATCTCTTGGATGTACTTCCTCTGCCCCAATAGGGATTAGACAACATTGCAGATTATGCTTATAATATAATAATTATATCACAATTGCCATTGAGGTTACCATTTCTACACTGTAAGGCCAGTTCATATCTTAATGTCATGTTCATGTCATTTTGGAAACAGGCAATTGATCATATTATTAATTCTGCTGCAAAGTCGAACTACATGTCTGCTGGTCAGATATCCGTGCCTATTGTCTTTAGAGGACCCAATGGAGCTGCAGCTGGTGTTGGTGCCCAACATTCTCAGGTATGGCCTGAAGCTCAGTTGTATTTTCTTGTAAAGTCTTATTTCCGTAATAGCAGAACTCAGTTCAGTCTGTTGTATAGTGCTGATAGTGATCCAATAGATCTATGCTGTAGTTCATTCATCATTGGGTACAGAAAATAAAACTTATCACTTCAGAGCGCTTTCAACTCCATGGCAGGTTTTGTCTTGTTTTGTTTTTGTTTCATGGTTGAAAAAAAGGAGCACAGTCGGTTTTGTTGTTGTTTCTTTTAACACCTTTTCTCTTTATCATTTTTATAACTAAAATGTGAAAACGTAGATACCGTGAAAAGAGTCTGCCATGTTTATGTTCTAATTAATTTTTCAATTATTTTAAGTTTAATTTCATATGTCCCTGCTATTTCACAAGGATTCAAATTTTTTTCATGGCCACTTTTTATTTCCTCTCAACAAACTTTTGTAAGCGGTATTTAAGCTGTGAAAAACAATAAAAAGTTAAACCACATTATAAACACACATCTTTTGGGACTAAGGCTCAGATGTTGTTGTTGTACCATATACGTGGATATATTTAATTATAGTATTATACCATATACATACACACATAATATTGTTGTACATTCAGATCCTTTTTAATTGCACATTTCAGGAAGCAAGATTCACTTTTGAAAAAGAATACTTTTAGTTTTTTCAGTTTGGCAAAGGTAATTTGGATTCGTTTTCTGGTGATGAAATGGGATATTTTCTACTCTCTGGAATGTGCTTTTGAAATGGGTTGGAATGTGCAATCCATACATCTTTCGAGTTGCAACATTTACCAGCTTTCAGAATGAACTTTCTATTTTTCTAAAGTTGAACCCAAACTGGCCTGCTGATAAAATAGTAATTAGGGAGAGAGTGGGGAATAATTATATTAGATGAATGATCTTGAAGAATATGCAAGTTTTTATACTTTTGGAGACTAACAATATGGCTGGAGAATGTGTACTGAAACTATCGAGTGTGAATGTAAGTAGGTGTTTGTTTAGAGAAGAAGATTAATTCTTGTGTATAGTATCTCTTCAGGTGTTTTTCATTTTGGTATTGCTTGAACCCTTTAATATATTACATTTCATTCACTAGAACATAAATGAACTTCAGTACCAACCCATGGAAGTTAGAGCATATTCACGTGGTTGTTTTACTAAAATAGTTACATTAGCTATAAGCATTAAAGTGTACGAGTTGAAACTTGAAAGACACTTTCATGGACCAGATTGCAGAAAAGGTAGGTTTCAGTTCTCCTTGATAATGAAAAACACATTAGAGAAAGAAAAGTAGACTTGTCTATGACAGAAACCCATGAGTAATTTGATTTTATTGTACTCTATTGTAATTATTGTAAATGATATCCTATCCTATTATGGAGTATATAATATGAGTGTACATGACTTAGAAATCCAGAAACTATGTCATGGAGTGACACACATACAATAATCAAAGTATACATACTAATTCAATAACTATGCAGACGATTATCGAATAATAATATATTAATATCAAATCAAATTAAGTAATTAAGCTATCCAATAAATAAATAATTTAAGACTTCTTTCAGGCTTTCAAGCATGTATGAGATGTATCCATAGACATCTAGTGGGATCTTAGTGTTCAGTGATAAATGAAAAGGCCAGTTTATTTTCTTTTAAACAAAATTTCCCTAATGTGTTGCAACTCTTAAAAGCAACGTACCTGTTTAAATTATCAGTTGCATGTATTGCATTTGAGTGGAGTTACTGCTTCCCTTTTTTATAGCATGTTTGTCACCATTCGAGATCTCTTGCAGTGCTATGCAGCATGGTATGCTTCATGTCCAGGACTTAAGGTTCTAACTCCATACTCCTCCGAAGATGCTCGTGGCCTTCTCAAAGCTGCTATTAGGGATCCAGACCCCGTTGTTTTTCTTGAAAATGAATTGCTGTAAGTACCACTATGTTTTTTTTATCATTTTGATATCCCGTAACCTGTCATAATTTAGTATTAACATTACAATTTGTGCCATAGATATGGTGAGTCTTTCCCCGTTTCAGATGAAGTTCTTGATTCTAGTTTCTGCCTTCCAATCGGGAAAGCTAAAGTAAGCAAATATTGGATTGAACCTTATATTTTGTTAACATATACTTCCTCCGCCCTGTTTGAAATTTGAAGGTTCCCATTTAAAAGTGGCACACCTTTTTAGGAAATAGTTAAATAAAGTAATTTGAATATAGTTTGGGTGGTTATATAATATATTGAGGTACTTGATGATAATGGTGTTGTTATCATGGTGGCTAGGTGTGGTGTCAGCTGACCGCCTTATCTCCTTGGCCTCTAGGCTCTCACCTAGACGACAACTAGGCGGCAAGTTGCTTCATATGTAATATTGTATTATAAGATACATATATAATGAAATATTATATTACAAATTAAGTAAAAAATAAATAATACTCCCTCCGTATCTATTTATTTGACCCACTTTCCCTTTTGGGACGTATCAAAATAAATGTCCCATTTCCCTTTTTGGAAATAAACCAACCCAAAAAGCAGCTACAGTATTGCTACAGTATTGCAGTACAGTACCGCTACAGTACCAAAAACCTCCTACTTTACATATATTTGCCTTAAGCTAAGTGAAAAAGCATACGGGTCAATTAAATTGATACGGAGGGAGTACTACGTATAAAATAAAAGTAAAGGATAAACAACAACATTACCCCCCAGTGCCTCAAAGGCTCCCACCTATGGTGGGATAAGGGGGCTTGGATGTACGCAACCTTACCCCTTTTCTAAAGCACATAGAGATTGTTTCCGAATGACCTATGAAGTAAAGGATAAACTAGATGAGAAAAAATCTGACAATTTAATTATTTTTGTTGAACAAGTGTCCCATATAAATCTCCGCACAAAAACATAAAATACATAATAATTTGAAAAATAATGCAAGTGTAGCACACATTTATTAACAAAGATTGAAAGATATGTTAGATGTACTCGAGCTGTACATAAATAGTGTACAGCAAGAAACATGCAGTACATGACTATAGATTAAAACGTGGTGGAGTCCAGCACTCCAGCCAAACCAAATTCAAATACAACCAAACGTCAGTCCCAAAAGATCTTGGGGAATGGGGAGAAACCAAATTCGAATAAAAAAACTAGCTACCTCATAAAGGGAATGAGCGAGAGTAGATGGAGGTGGAACAGCAGCGGCGACCTACAACAGAGACCTGGACAACGGGTTGAAGGGCCTGGTGTTCTGGCCGACGGCTTAATATTGACAACTAATTATCTTTTAAAACCTAAATCCTAGTATTCCGGGTGGGTTGCTGAAAACTGGATATGGGCGTAGCCATGATGACTTGCAGACGCCTAATTGACCCTGAGTTACGCCTTGGGAGTTTCAGGCAATTCAATTGAGCATGTCATCACTCCATCGCCGGGACGACTAATTGTTGCCTAGTTGACACCGTAAAAACGCTAGTCCTTACGGGTGTATTAATTTTAATATGTGATGAAATGATGATAAAGTTATCTTTAAAGCTAATCATTGCCTGAAGTGGAAATGAGAACCTTGAAACGGGATGGAGAGAGTACATTATAAATTATAATAATAATAATAATTATGATGATGATGATGTTCCAAACATTGGCAGATTGAACGTGAAGGAAAAGATGTGACAATCACCGCCTTCTCAAAAATGGTCGGCTATGCTCTAAAGGTTTGTGGTTCTTTCGACATGAAAAAGTTTTCAGCTATTAAGCTTTATCTGAATAAATATCTAGTCAAACATGAGTACAAGACGGTGAAGCATGTAATATAATCTAGAATTTCAATTTGTGGTTATTTGATGTCCAAAGTATAGTCCCTGCGCCTAATTGTGTATTGATGATGTTTCTTGTTTCATAAATTAAAAACCAATATGAAGCAAAAATCGATGCCTTATTGCCTTGTGATACATGTCTTACAATTCTTCTATTTACAATTTTGTTTGTGCTGCATATTTTACAACGATCTCAACACATCCCATGATGTTATTTTGAACAGAAAATTTCATGAAACAGCCTTATTTTCCAAGTGATTTGAAAAAACCTTTGGTGAATAACTGGTTTCAGAATTTCATTTTAATGTTTGTTCCTAATTCAAGGTTGCAAGTAGAAAGCCATCAAGTTTCAAATTTTGCCATTGTGTTTTGTTCCCAACGACAATGACCATTTCGAATTAGATCTTTGTATTCCTTACTTAGAAAGGTTGTTTAACTTGTTTTAAACGAAGTACATCTTTTGTGAAATGCTGTCATTATCCTTCAATGGCTTTTTAAGCTGCATGAATATTTAGTCATAACACATTTTATAAAATTAATTTACGCTACGTCTTTTTTTCATGCCACCGATCACAAGATAGTTGGACTTAGGTGTATATGATAATTATGTCATATATTTTACAATTGCTGATTCTTGTGTATAACTCATCCAACTTTCCAGGCTGCTGAGATTCTTGCAAAGGAAGGAATCAGTGCTGAGGTACTCAAGAGCCTACACAGTTTTGTTACCTTAAGCTTACTAGATCCATTTCCTCACTTGATTTTTTTTGAACAGGTCATAAATTTGCGCTCAATCAGACCTCTCGATAGATCCACCATCAACTCTTCTGTTAGGAAAACTAACAGACTTGTAACTGTTGAAGAAGGGTTCCCGCAACACGGTGTTGGCGCTGAGATCTGGTTAGAACCTTTAATATCTTTCTGCTCCTGTTTCCCATCCAGATCTACCAAAAACTAAGAATCATTTGGAGCACGAAAGTCGAAAATGCTAGGGAAACAAAGTAGAAACAAAAGTCTGGAGGGGAACAAAAGATATATTCAAGCTCTACATGAATTTTAGATATTTAGCTAAACTCATCATATTTTTATTTATAAAGTCATAAACATAAATTTTTAAAAAATGATAATTTATATTGTTTGTCTGCGCTTCTATGGTTAAGGTGTAAAGCCAAACATAAGACAATAACTTTCCTTAGCATATTTTTTTTGTTTCCTGGCATTTTGGGAGATCAAAATATATCTTGACTGAAGAGGCATAAAACAGAACTGATTAAGTATCATACATTTATCATTCTTTCCATCATACCTGATTAAGTTTTCATCATGTTAGTGCAACTGTTGTTGAGGAAAGCTTTGGATACCTTGATGCACCTGTTGAAAGGATAGCAGGAGCTGATGTTCCTATGCCGTATGCAGCAAATCTTGAAAGATTAGCTGTTCCCCAGGTTGGTGATCTAATATTTTCTCTCTGAATTTTCACGATTTTTGTTACATGTTTTTGCAGATCTCTAATAATAATTACAAGTAATAACTAAGTAAGAAACCAGGTTGTGACAGGAAAAGGTAGCTGACGTACAACATTGTTACAATGCTTTTACGTGAATTTAGTGTTAATTAATGTTATACAATTAAATCGATTACTTTATTGCCACCAATCCCATTTGGAAAGTGTGATATTGGTGATGATGTTGCTGGATGAAAACATTGGGAGCAGTTTGAGTAAGTATTAAGGCCATGAAGGAGAATGACACATTAAATATGGCTGGCTATAGGATACTTTTTAAAAAAATAGGTGATACGACTGAATTCAATGAGGCTTTTAAATCAAGATACAACAACACCATCCAAGCCTTATTCCCAAAAGATTATGGGGTCGGGTAACATGAATCGATCCACGATTTCAGAGCCAAAAAGAGAAGAAAGATAAGAAGAATAAAAAATAAAGATAAAATGGATAAGATAACAATAACAATAACATAAAAACATAAGAAAGATAAAAGATGAAAAGATAAAAGAGCACAAGAAATATAAAAGATAAAAATGACATAAGAACATAGAATGATAAAAAAGATAAACGATAAAAGAAAAAGAAAGATAAAGGAGATCAATCGTCCACACGAATGTGCGCCCTCCACTTTGTTCTCTCCGGCTTTTAAATCAAGATGTCCCATTTAAAAACCACCAATAAATGAAGGTAGAATTCTTTCTTCATTGGTTGGGAGGATGAGAAGCTTATCGGTTATTCTTGGAAGAAGTGTGGTTGTCATGTTTTATGATATGCATGTTGAATTTACCAATGTCATTTTGCAATTAGACATGGCTGTAGCACCTATCTCAACTATTCACCATCTAAAAATACCCTGAAGATGACAGTTTGGCCATTTCATCACATTATTCCTTCTTTAGAAGGTTGTGACACTAAGAACATTTAACTTAAACCTTTGTCAGTGCCTTTTTATCGTGTAAGTTTATAATGTTAACTAACTTCATACACTTAGTCGCAACTTGCTACCAATCCCACAATATTATGTAGAGAAAGATTAACACATTGCAATATTTAGAAAATTTACTGTCCCCATCTGGTGATTTTTTTTGAAAGGCCCATCTGGTGACTTACTAAACGTTAAGAAAGCTGAGAACAGGAGAAAAGTATGCTATATACTGCTTCAGAATTGTAATTCTGTTTCTCGATTTCTCATTGCTTTGACAGATTGAAGACATAGTTCGTGCAGCAAAAAGGGCATGTTATAGATCAGTTCCTTTGGCTGCCACTGCATAGGAATTTTGGGATTGACATTATAATTGTATTCCAAAATCTGGTCTCTTTTCTTCAACTAAACCTATGTTTCGATCTACACCCTCTTTTGAGGATATTTATTCTTTGTCCACATTGATTTTGATAACACACTTTCTCGGTTTCCTTGCAATGCTTGCCCATGGACGACCTGAGTACTGAGAATCAGTCTCAAAACAAACTTTTGTAAAAATATAATAATATGATTGGGGTATGTATATTTGCCCCTACTTTTTAGATTTCTTCTAGCGCAACCGTTTAAACTGTCATGCTAATGTGTCATTAGCAGCATGTTTGCCTATTTGGGGAATTCTTAAATTCTGCCAAAAATGATTCCAGCAGAATATTTGAGATTGTTATTTCAGTTTCACATAGTAACTTTTGGGAATTGATGCTTCGTAGTTTGTTTGTATGGAAAAATAATATAAACACCAAATTTTGAAGGGGTGTGGGATAAGCACCCAAACTTACATATGCAATGCGTATATATCCCGAACTTTATATAAAATGTTATTTCTCACAATGATTATATGTTATGTACAAATATAAATTTATTGAAATAAGTACATAAGATAAAACACTAAGTTAATTTTAAATTATTACTTTATACTCCATATGTTATTTTCTCACTTTTGGATGCAGTTAACAATCTAAATTTTATTTGTGAAATACTCCCTCCGTTTCCAAAAGAAAGTCATGGTTTGACTTCACGATTATTAAGGAAATAAATTGACTTTACTGTAGAAAACACTGTTTAGACACTGTTTGGCACTGTTTCGCACTGTTTGGATGTAGATTTCTTTACCAAATAAGGAAATAAGGGAAGTGTGACTTTGTTTTTGAAACATCCCAAAAAAGAAAGTGTGAGTTTCTTTTAGAAACGGAGGGAGTAAATAATATTACATGTGGTATAAGTTAATTTTAATAGCATCCTCTATCTGTATAAGAGCTTTGTGTATATTAATAAAATTCACTTGTGATAATTTTTTACCAAATAAGTTTTTCCAAACGTAAAAATTGGAGTGTGCTATAATAGAGATTCACTTGCATAAATAACTCACCTATATAGTTAAGTACTAAATTTAAACAAAGAATCCCAAAAACTATAGTCCCAAATTACTCTTCATATTGGTCAACTTAGTTCAGGACAATTTTATGTATATCAAAATTTTATCATTTTAAATTTATTTCTTAAAAAAAGCACTTTTGGAGATGTAAGGAAAAAATGATTAGTAGTAAAAGTTGATAGTGTTTGAGAAAAAAGTGATTTTGAAAAGGAAAAGTTGGTAGTGTTTGTTAAAATAAGTGTTTTTTGTGTAATAGAAAAGGGAAAAACACTTTTCACACGCAAGTCGAGAAAAAGTAATAATTGGTAGTGTTTGGTAAATAAGTGTTTTTTTAAGCCAAAATCTGAGAAGTGCTTTTTTTTTTAAGTTGTTGCCAACACTCCCGAAGTAAGAGCATGTATATCAAAGTTTTATCATTTTAGATTTATTTCTTATGGAACTTCTATCATTCGAAGTAAGAGCTGCTGAGCTGGAGTTGCGGACATAGTATTTGTATAACGAGTTCATGTGCTGCACTTGGTTTACTACTACCTAGGGGTGGGCATAACGGTTTGGTTTAACCGAACCGAACCGTACCAAACCGAACTAAACCGAACCGAAACCGAACCGTATGCAATTTGGTTTTAGTTTGGTACTATTTCTTTCAAACCGTATTAAACCGAACCGAACCAAACCGATAAAAACCGAACAAAACCGAACAAAACCAAACCGAACCGAACAACACACACACACACTTTGTATTTATCTTCACTCTTCATTTTAAGATATAAATAAAAAATTTAGACATGAAAATGCATATTTAAACATATACTCGTATTATTTTAACTTTTACACATTTCAAACATTCATTATGACAAAGTTAGCTAGTACGACATATTTGTATTTATTATGGTTGGCGATATCAATAGCAAATTGTATTTATATTTCTATTTCTATTTCTGTGTGAGTCTTTGGTTTAGTTTGTTTCAATTGGTTTAGTAGGTGAAAGCAGGTTGTTTAAGCTAGGTTCTAGTATTTCATTTAGTTGGAATTTCAATTGGCAGGTTGTTTAAGCAGGTGAAGGCATGTTGTTCAATTGGTTTGGTGAAGGCTGGTTCTAGTGTTTCATTTAGTTGGATTTTCAATGAAAACAAAACATTCAAAATTACTCATTTACTCAAAGTGGATTGTTACATATGAAACAAGACATAATCATTTTCAAGTTTATAAACCGAACATCAAATCGAACACCAAACCGAACCGAACCGAATTTTTCCCAAACCGAACCGAAACCAAACCGAAATTCCTTTGGTTTGAGTTTGGTACTATTTTCCTCAAACCGAATAAACCGAAACCGAACCGAAACCGATAAAAACCGAACCGTAAACCGATTCGCCCACCCCTACTACTACCCCTAACCTTTAGTATCACTCTATGAAATGTGTCTATGATATTGGGATAACTTCATGCCCCTTAACTCGCTTGTGTAGGGCCGAGACGTCTTTTCATAATATTGAATAGTCTTTTATATGTGTTTGAGGGCAGAATAAGTATTGGATGACATCTAGTTGTTTCCTTTGCTGTTGAAAGGTGTTGAAAGACTTTTGCTGGATTTGAAATGCTTTCCTTAATTTGATTGTTTTTGTCGACTTAAAATATTAGTGGCGAAAAGAGTGATTCATTACAAATATTCATGTAAACTTCTACATGTGTACATTTTAGTTTTTAACTGTAATTGCATTTGTTGAGGAGAAGATAACCTTTTCATCCGTAAAACCTCAAAATTCATGATGACAGTAATTTTGGGACAAATGACATAGTAAAAAGTGAAAGTATATACTCATATTACGGAGTATTTTCATTTGTAATTCTTTATAATTTACATATTATATATAATATATTCATTAAAGGTAAGAAGGTAAACTTATGCACAAACTTGCATATTTCTTTGGATATTGTTTTAATATATCAATATGAAATACTACGTAACAAAAATTAATAAAAATTGGGAAAACAGTCAAATAGGTCTTCGAACTTTCATAAAAAAAGTCAACTAAGTCCTTCTATAGGAGACTCTCTCCGGTCGTCACGATTTGGGGTGGTTCCCGGTGGAATTTTTTGATGAAATTTTTTGAGCATCTTATTCACCAAGTCTAGTTTACTCATACCAAATTTCAGCTAAAAATTTAATCGGGAGCGCATTCAAATTAATTTGAGAACGCAAAAATGCATAGTTATCTTCAAGAATTAATTTGAATGTGTTCCCAATTGATTTTTTAGCTGAAATTTGATATGAGTAAACTAGACTTAGTGAATAAGATGCTCAAAATATTTCATCAAAAAATTCCACCGGGAACTGCCTCAAATCGCGACGGCCGGACAGAACATCCTATAGAAGGACTTAATTGACTTTTTCATGAAAGTTGGAGGACTTATTTGACAGTTTTCCCATAAAAATTAAAAATACATGCCCATGTTTAGGCTTCAGCTACTTTCATTTAGGCTTCAAACACTTGAGATTTACTCTTGTCATGCACTTATTTTAGAACAATAGTCAAAATCTAGAGTTTTTTTTTTTGAAAACAAATCTATAGAGTTCAAGCTTACATTATAAAATTTAATTATGATCATGTACAACAACAAGAAATAGCAATTTTACTTATACAAATTTATCTTGAATGATTGATTTAACCAAATTTAGTATGCATATCTTTTTTTAAAATAAAGACTAGATGATAAATTCTTTATATTCAGTTAAAGAGAGAAGTTTGTTTGAAATACATCCTTTTCGGATTAAAGTAGTATACCACATACATATATGAGAAAATTAAATTTTGTAATTTTGCTGGTGCACGCAATTCTAATACAGGTAAGCAGTTAAAAACACAATTTTACCATTGCAATAATGTCATGGAGAGGTTAACATGATTCACAAATTAAAATGCATATTTAAAATACATTTTTATATTTTTTGGGAATCATTGTATGTAAGTGAAATATTTTCTATAAGTATAAAAGGCTTGTAGTGATTTCAAAAGAACAGAACATTTTTCCATCGCCAGCTGATATTCAGTGCCTCTTCTTTCCACTTCCGGCATTTGATTTTGAGGGAGCAGCAATAGCATTAGCAAAGAGTGCCACAATAAGCACCACGGAAATATGGGATCCATATTTTGACAGTAAACTCTGCATACAATGATATAGCTGAATATCAGTTAAAGAGGAAGAACAAAATTTCCATCATGAAGGCAATAATATTTACTCATAATCATAAGGAAATACAGATTAATTTATTTAATAGAAATACACATTACCTTAGCCTGCAGGCATGTCCCCACATATTGCAATTAGACATGAAAAGATGAAGCAAAAAACTTAGGAGTCAGAACGAGGAGACCATATTGAAGACGAAAAAAGACACATCTCTAGAAGGAAAAAACTTACCAATCCCAGTTTGGCTTCACCAACTTTTTCAGATAATATTTCTAATGGCAATATTGGAGTGGAGTATGCCTCCTACAATTATGATATAAAGATGTTAGGAAATAATATTCTTCAAGAAAATAACGTTCTTATCAAGAATTGCGCCAATAACTCCCACCGCTGCACATATGATTCAAAGAATAAAAAAACAAAGGGAATAGAAACATGATGGTATAAAAAAAATGACAAAGAAATAGATGGTGACAAACGCCTAAACACCAACCAGACAGATAAATTAATTAACTTGAGTAAATAAAGACTTTAACTCGTATGCAGCCGCATTGATGCAGCTGCATTGATGCAGCAACTTAAATACTTAGAGTGGAAGAGAAAGGATCATTTAACGCATGAATGATAAATGGAAAAATAAAATTAATGTACTGTCTAAGGGATTCAAACACGAGTTGAGGTGCGGAAAAAGCAACCTTCTGCTGGCTGAACTAAGTTAGTTACTTGTTATAAATGAATGCTTCAGACATGTACACATGTCTCTAGAATTTTATCATATTGACATACTGACAATTTATTTTTGAAATTTGTAATCTTATTATTTTACATATGCCTAGGCCTTACCTAGTTACCTACACATCCTAGGCATTATGCTGCGCCCAAATAACACCAGTGAATTTTAGAACACTGATGATAGTAATACGGAGTATGATACAGCATTGATAAATGATCTTAAGACAGTGCAATTATCACAACATGCAACACTATCAAGGCAAGAGGTCACAAACTCAAGTCTTAAGAGCGGCCAATTGTCAAAATAACAAGGAAAAGTTTACCCCCTAGGCCCCTATACACTCTTACACCCTTGTGATGAGACTCTTTCCCGGACCATCGACTTGTGGGTATTCCAGGCTGCTCATTTAAATACCCTAAATTCTAAGGTCAATGAAAATATCTAATACCGGAAAGAGAGTGAAATAAGCATTCCAAAACAGTAGCAATACATTATTCCATGGA